CATCCTATCCATGCTTATTTAAAAAGCACAATTTTATACAACTCATGTGTTCAATGGGTTTATGCAAACCTAAACATGGTTATAATGGCCACACCATATATTATATGCACATCATAAATGGATCTAGGTTAGATGTCAGAACTCAAAACAAATCTAAGTTGCAGAAAGTCAGTCATCAGGTTTGCAGTTGCAACCTTTCATGTACTATAAGAAATTTGGGGAACATCAAATCCACAAGAGGTGGGGGGAGGAATGATATTAGTTGGTGATTTCTAGCCAAAAAAAAAAAATGTTCTGCATCTGGAACACTAAATACTTCATTCTATTATAAAATGTTTTTTTTTTTAAGATTAAAAAACTAACTATGCTGTATTAGCACTATTGCCTGAAGATGTTTAACACCACTATTCGGTTTGGTAACAGACAAGCAGACTGATTAGCAGCACCCTGTAATGAACAGTTTTTACATATACAAAACCCAGATATTTCACCTCTTCAAATAAGCATGTCTTAAATGCAAGGCAACCACAAAAGATTCCCAGTACAGAATTATATAGTCTATAAACATAGTCTGCAGATAAACCAGATCTTAAAGGGTCACTAATATTTGACATGTCTAATATTCCTATTTTAGCACTGTAATCTTTAGTAATGAGAAATACAGCAACAAAACAGTACTATACTGCCACCAAGGCAATTACCACAACAAGGCTTAAGAATTCATGGCACACACTACGGGAAATTAACAATACAACCAGGGATTTAACTTTACAAAGACACTACAGTATTTAGATTATTTAAAATGTGCTTATTTCAGAGAGGACTCTGCACATAGAAAAGAAAAAAAAAAAAAGTTCATTTCCCTGGGCTTTTACGCAACTTGGCACTCGCACACAGCATGCTAATCCTAGATGCCTTTGACAGACTGTCCATGGCTAAGTGAATCTTGCACACACAATGTATATCTCCTGATCACAGCACTGGAGTAACAGTTACGTTTAAAGGCCCTTTCCCACAATTTGTTATAACAAAAGGTAATCCAGTAATCAAAATACAGCAACACACGTCAATGTTTGAATCTTTCTTCTAACCCTTACCTCACTTATAGGAGGTAACCCGTAAACCTCCCCATGCCCCCTTGTATAACAGTTTATGTAGAATAAAACTCCAACCAACCTCATCCAGTGGATGACTGAGCTCGATAATCACAGTCCACCATAGCTATACATAGAATGAAGTCACCATTTCAATGCACGCGTAAAAAGGAATACTTAGCAATGGCACTTCAAACAATACAATCCTTGAGTTGTCCCCCCCAAAGTTTCAATAAACCCCCAATAAACCCACCCATCCCTATGAGTAGCCTTGAAAAGGAAACGTTCTCAATACTGGTCGGTGAACATTTTGTGGGGGCAGTGGAGGTTTAATGTTTAGCACTAATAAGGACGATGTACAAAAACACAATAGACCTTAAACCAACTCAATTGCATGAATAGAATACATTGCCCATCTGAAAAAAATCCAAAACCAGGATTTTTTTTTTTTAAGAACTTACTGAAAATTGCAAGTTTTAGATCATACCAATAAAAAAATAAAAAAAATAAAAAAAAGAACAAATAAAATCTCATACTGGTTCATGTTAAAAACCCACTTTGTGAACACAAATGTGCAATTCCTTTATCCGGTCTACACATTTTCCTTTAGGGAATAACCTAAAGCAAAGTTATTATTTGGCTACTTTATTTAATTCTGTGAACAGAATACCTACCAAGGTATGCCAAGACACCTGGAAACAGTTTTATAAAAGAGTGTTTAATACAAACATCAAGGACATTATAATTCATCTGAATGTAATTTCATCTACCATGTCCGTGCTGGTATTTTCAATGAACCATCTTTATAGCCTTAAGACAAGACCTAGGTTTAGCTCACCTAATGTGGTAAGCAATTTTTTTTTTATTGAAAGTCTTCCAATTCACTGTAAAACATGTTTTAAAGTTGGGCACTCACCTACTTATATCCATTTGTATTGCTGAGAGGAAAAACTGGTTAAATAAACTGAACAGAAAAGCCAGGAGCATTTAGATGTTTTATTAAAAAAAGTTTGATAAATGTAAGACAAGTTATTCACCACATACAGGGATTTTTTTTTTTTTTTTTTAAAGAATTCAGATTTTCAAATAGTTGGATTTTACAAGCATTTCCTTGAGTGATCATAGTTTTAAAAATAATTTTAGATGTAACAATAAGCAGACACTTTGTTATTAACTAAGCAAAGCTAGAATTAGAAATAAAGTGTTATTGCATTTAGAACCAATTTAAAGGATCTTCTGTTTATCTGATAGCAAAAAATATTGAAATTATTATGAGGTTTTAGTCATTATCAGTGCTTGTTCAGTATGCAAATAATGAATACACTTGTACCACAGCACTTGTTTCAGATAAGTTCAAATGTTATCTTTTCCCATGATTTGGAAAGGTTTGTTTTACGCAGTTGACATTTTAGGATTTATTTAAACTGCTTGTAACTCCTTCAAAAAAGTTAAATGCATTCATTTTGTTAATCTGAAAATTTCATTATGGAGCCATGACATTTCTTTTATTAAGCCTTGCTTGATGAATAAGGTATTAACTGATAATAGACTAAGCTTGTTTGAGCCCAGGGCCCTCTTCAACCCATCATTCCTGTAAAGTGTTTGAAATAGACTCATTTATTGGTAAATCTCCCCCTTTGAGAATATTGTAAAGTGCTACAGAATATGCTGGCGCTATATAAATACCAGTAATAATAAGTGGTTATAAATTTCCACTTTAAAACCCAGTTTAAACAGACTATTAAGAGGATGACAGGATAACCCACGTAATCCGGTTTCAGTCATTTTACAGGTTATGCACCTCTCCTGTAGAAGTTATAGTTAAGTGTAATTACCATTTGTAGCATACTCTTGACCTTGTGCATGTACTTCAGTCAGTGAGTCAAGTAGGGAGTAGTGTTTGTTTTTAGGTGTTCTAAATATTGCCTTTTATTGTATATTAAGCACCCCTTGTTCCTTGGTCACAGGCGTGGAGATAAGGCCTTTGTTGTAAACTGCAGATGGGTGGAAGGCAGCAGCTTGAAGATTCATTCAAGTTTAGCAGTTATTTTTATGTGTTATTAGTTGTTTTTTTTTTTTTTTGTTTTTTTTTAATATATCATTTGATACCTCATTCAGCAATGTTTTACCAGCCGACATTTAACTTTAGTTAAGATCACCCTTATAGAAGAGTAATATTCCCTTCAATGAATTAAAGCAGACACAGAGTCACTGACTAACCAGTGCTAGTGGCCTAGGATTAAAAACAGGAGGCGGTTTGGAACCACAACTTTGCACAAAACAAAACCCCCCCCAAAAAATAAACAATATGTGCTACCCCAGACAAATTAGGTTGGCGTTATCAATACATGACATCCCAAATATGCATGAGCCCAGCAACATACAAATATTAGAAAGCTACACAGCACACAACTACAGTCACAAATGCAAACCAGAATAAAACAGCACATTATTCAGGGACATTAATCTTTGGTATACTTGGGAGTGAACGAACTGGTGTAGATTCAGGATGATAGATTTATATGAAGGAAACTTCACATAAAGTTCATATAAAGGGCTGCACATCTTCAAACTGGAGCAATTAAATGTTCATGAGAATAAGCCTCCCTTCCATAAAGATTTGGATAAGTAGAGCAAAGGGCCGCATTAGACGTTCATGTTTATTAGGGGCCATGACTAAGGCAGCGTAAATGAATAGCAGGAAACATGGGTCCTTTCACGGAAGCACATCAGCTAAGCATGCTATCAAGAAGAATATCACACTGGCAATGTAGAAACCATCTGATGCCAACTGGGCAAGGATTCAAAACTTCTAAAGGCACACTGGGCCAAGACGTACACCTCTGGCTAGGGGATATCATCATGTAATGGGTCCACTGTTTTCCAGCAGCTTGAGATTTTCTGTAAGAATCTAAAAAATAGCCATTTATAATACCCTCCCTCCCACCAACATAACCCCTTTATAAATCACAAATATTCCCACCCCAGATGGCAGTAAAGTGAATACTTTTATTATCACCACCCAAGATTACAGACCCCTGTCTACAGCAAGTCAAGTTTACAAATTATTGCTACAAAATTTACATAAACAAGACCCTTGACATTAAGCAATGCAGGTGACGAAGCCTATTCAACGTCAGTTCGAGAAGTTCACAAGGCTGGTTATTTAGACCTGTAAAATAAAAATTGAACAAACTCAATGCCCCCCACCCTGTCCCATGAAACCCTTTAACATTCAAACTACAGTCACACTCGGCTTCATCGGTACTGCCCCCTACTGGAAACTGGTTGTAGATTTTCACCCAGGAACCACACCCCATCATTTAACAGACCTATTTTAAGAATCGAGTTATATATATATATTTTTGAACCATAATTAAAAAAATTAAAAAAAAATAGTCCTACAGTACATACAACCAGGAACCCAACACTGTAATTAACACCAACTTGATTATGGCCATGAAGTCACTTATTAAGGAGAGGCACAGAAAATGTGCTACAATTTGATAGTAAGTGAATAACCATGAAAACCCATCATGTTTATGGATAACATGTATTTTAAACCCTGACATATCACAGACCTGTCTGCATACCATCTTTAGCATTATTACCACTTGTAGTATGCACCTTTAAACGTGTAAACCCAAGTTTTTACTCACAGAGTCTATTCATCTCAATACCCATGCCACCATTTATATTTAAAAATGTTACATACAGTCATGGAACAGGTTATAACAATATTATGACCAGCATTTTAAACTAGATACATTAGTAATAATGTATACATTGGAATTATAATGTTCACAGGCATACAGATTCATGCTGTCCTCCCTGACAAGATGATCTAATTTCGTGTTGAAAGAGCTGCATTCAGAGTTATACTCACCACCTCCCAGACATACATACCCATACCGAAGCCACACCGCATAGCTGCTCCTCACTGAGATGTTGCTCTTCTGGGTACCCGCATTCTGAATGAGGCGACAGCTGTCAGAACGCTTCTTTATATAGACTCTATGCAGACGAACAACAACTGCAGTTCTGCAGTTAACCCTCCGCGCTGCCAATGAAAAATAGTCCCGGCGAGTTACCCTGACAAAAAAGTATATTGTGGGGCTCAGTTCGCCCGCGAAACAAAGTTCATTAACAGAAAATAACTGCCGGTGTAAGAAAAAACGGCAAACAGGGAGATTTACACCGATAACCGCACTTATTAAACGGCGGAATTTTCCAGAGCTTTCTGTTTACGCAAAGATACAGGCGCGCATGCGCGGCTGGGACTATTTTACGCCTCTATATAACGCGATTTTGGTGTTAAAAAGAATACGGGGACTAAAATATTCCACATATTTATTACTTCTGTGATGGTTTGTTTGTGTAGGGCAGCAAGGCAGGAATGAAAAACGTTCGAGGGGGCAGTGGCGTCATTTCTTTCAGCGGCGAAACGGCGGAGGGTTACCAAGCGGGAGGGTGGTTATCCGCGGAGGGATATTACTTGCTCGAACATGTTTTAGATAGCGTGGGTTACGTGATCTGCAGATCGCACGGATATTTAGGAACTGCGCCCTTGTTATGCGTCTGTAGATCCGGTTCAAACCGGTTGAGACTGGTTCTAAACGTTCTTCAAACAATAAAGTGTGGAAGGGGGAGGTAGTTGGAATGTTATAGAATCTTCCAGACTGCTGCAAGTTCCAACTTGGAGAGGAAAAAAATAAAAAAATAAAACAAAACTTCCCTGACTGTGTAGTGCTATGGTATATAAATATAGGCCTTGGATTCTGATCTTAACTGTATTTCTTTAATTATTATTATTTATTTTTTTTATTCTCAGTGTGTATGACAAAATATCCCCGATCTAAAGTGATTGTCCCTTTTATAATATTTATTTATAATACTTATGAAATACTGATGAGGTCTGTGTTTGAATTTCTATGCACCTCAGTGTTGTACTCTTGCGCATATGAGAGAGTACAGCACTGAAGGTCCTTTTTGAAGAAGTTAGCTCGGCCAGCTTAGGGTTAATAAATAGGGCTTAACCTCTGTGTTTTACACATGACAATAAATGTATATAACTCTCATTGCCACAAGCAGGGCCGGTGCTTAGACTATATTCCACCCTAGGGAAAACCAGCTACCGATTTAAAGGGATACTATAGTCCCAAAAACAAATTGTAATTTCAGGATTCTAGGTTTCTATCAACATAATCACTCTTTCAATGCATCTCTATGAGGAGATGCCGATTGTCTAGAACGTAAGCTCTTAAGCTACGGCATTTATTGGCGTTTTATAAATAATAATAGGCACAGGGCTTTGATTTGCTGCTCATGCCAAATAGTCTCCGTATGGGAAAGCACTAGATTGATGATCTTCGCCATTAAGGCGGAGACAGCTACAGAGAGACTGGCGTGCCGGTGGAGAAACGGGACGTAAAATAATCTTTTTACTCCACAGTTACGGGGGCTGGGTACCTAAATAGCTACTCCAGCAATATAGTGTCAGGAGTACAAGTTTAAATTCCCGACATTAGTATTCCTTTAACTCCTCGTTTCCTAGACTGCAGGCTCCAGCTCCTCATCTGTCGATCTCAGAATTCCTGCTGACGTCACCCACGATCTCGTCCAAATCAATGGTTCACATAGAGAATCGTTGCGGACAAGAATGTATGAGTAGCAAAGTGCAGGGCTCCTCCAATCAAATGCTGCTATGAGCAGGATATCATTACAGGAGCAAGTTTTATTTGGTTATGGAGACAGAAGCGCCTTTAGCTGGTATCAATAAACCACTATGAAACACTGCACATACAGAATTTAACCCCTCTGCTGTGTAACTCCACCTACAGCATCATCATTGGAGTGTCATTAGCCAACACAGAACAAGAGCAAGCGTTCAGGGCCTACTAACATGGCATACTGACAACAGGCATCCAATGACAGCACTGCGCACTCTACTTCCTGCCCATGTCTTCTTTGCCAGCTAGGGGAAATGACTTCAGGAGAGAAATTGGCCTAGGCGCTGGAATTGAGCTATATTATAGCAATGTTTAGTTTTAATTTATTTTTAACTTAACTGGTTTTGGTTAAACTAACCCTTGCTGTGCAGGTTCTCTCCAGTCAATGTTAATAAAACATTGTGTTTGGTTTGTAATATCCATTAACATAAATATACAGCTATCTATAACAACAGAATCACTAATAAACCCACCTCGTACTGAAAGAGTTTTCTATATATTCTGTTCTAGTATTTTTAGACATTTGCAATTTGTTTCATTCCAAATGTACATTCATAAGAATTTCTTGCCATTCAGATGCTTATGAATGTCGGTAGTGACGAAGTTCGGTAGTGCCGAAGCTATTCGAATTTCTGAAAACTGGCAAAACAAGAGAGACTGAGGGGAAATTACGTGAATGATGACCGGAATCTTGACCAATAAGCTAATTCCTTTTGTGCAATGTAATGCTTGCTTGCCCAATCCGGTTTCACTATTCCCTGTCCAATGAAATGAGCACATTTTTGTGATAGATGTTAGAGGACAGCCAATTAATGGTGATTATGTCACGGACACTTGGCCGATGAAGGCACACAGAGTCATTGAGGTGGGATAGTATATATAACAGGCTGTCGGTTTGCATTCATGTGACCAGTAGACATGTGCAATTCGTTTTGTTCTGAATGTAAATTCATACGAATTTCATGCCATTCGGAAGCTTACGAATGTCTGAAGGGATGGCGTGCAGCAGTTCCGAAGTGCCAAACCGAATGCCATTGGTCTGAATTGCCGCATCAGACAAATTATTTTAGTTACCTGAATTTCCAAACCAAATGTTATTCCCATGCATGCCCATTCTAGTTTTAATATAGAAAAGGGAGGCAGTTTTGAAATGCTGCATTGCAGGTTTCCACAGTCTCTGCAGTATAAATATTGCAGATTAAAAAAAAAAAAGCGTAGTAACTTATAAAGGTAGTATTGCAACTTTTGCAGACATCTGCAGCACATTATAGGGTTGCATTTGTCATGCATAGACATTCAGAAGAAGGGATGGTTGTACAGGAAATATAGGTTGGTCTGGCAAGCAACATTGAGCATTAATTTTAGGAAGGATGTAGCTGTGGGTTTCAAGTTAATTTGTCAATTCCTGTTTGACGTAAAATAAGAGTGAGTTTATTCATTAAACTTTGAAACATAAGGAGTGATTCACTGAAGTGAAAAATGTCAAGAGCTCAAAGTGAATTTCAAATTTAAGTCCAAAACAACTTAATTGGAAAAAAAAATCTCCAAGTCACCTAGGTTTCCAATTTGACAACTTTGGCCTTAAATTTGAATTCTCACTTTAGCGAATTATCAAGTTAGTAAACTGAAGACTAATTTGGAATTTAGGCCGAAAATACTGTGGTCACTATATCTAAAATATATATATTTTCAGAGTACTTATGATTTAATAGATCAGGTCCATAAAATAGGTTATTTGTGCGTATGCTTTAACTATTTAGTACACAGTTTGCTAAATTGTGTACACAAAGTAAACATATTGGGGGCAGCAGGGCCAATACTTCTATAAGCACCAACCTCACTGCCTGCTGCCTTGGGTCACTTCAGTTCGTGGCTAGGCTTCAATATGGAGGCGAGTCGGCTAGCCCCTCCAGTAACATCATTGGAGGGACCAGTCAACTCTACTAAGGAAGCAGTGAGTAAGGTGGCTCTAGGAGCTTACAAAAAAGTGTCAGCCCTGGTTCTCATGTTATAGTTATCTTGTGCACACGACTTCATAGATCGCACGTGCAACATAAAGTGTGCTCATGCGTTCTGCTAACTAGTGCACATGAAGAGCCTTGCACACTGGCGAAATGCGCACGTCCAGGGCTCTGCTATTTTCTAGACATCTTACCTTTGTGTTTGGATTTGTTAATACACCCTGCTTAAATCATTTTTGTTAGCGCAGATAGAAAAATAAGTAAAAGAACTAAAAGAAACACACTTTCTATTACTAAACACTTCTAATATTTTTTTCACAGCTTATTCTCCTTCCAAACAAGAGTGTGGTTAATTAGAAGTAGAGAGAAATTTGTCTTGTCTAATATTTAGATGATAGCTTCCCTCAAAAAGGCATGTTAGTGTGGTTTCAGGTTCATATAAATATTATTTTTCCATGGGAACATATTTTCCCTTTGTGTTACATTTTATTACTATTGATTATTTCGCACGTCCTTGCATACCTTTTATCTTGATATGCTTCTCTTGAACCTTGTGTGCAACAATATCTGTCTCTATTGTTTAGATTCATTGTTGCAACTGTATACTAGATAGCTGCAACAATATATCACTTGTGTGGAGGTTCAGTTTCACAGTCTTTGTATTTGCTAGTAATCGCCTTTAAGCTGTGTCAGGCTACTAAAAGGAAATTAAGAGGAATAAAAAGTGATTTTTATATTTCCCCACTCTAGCTGCTATTTATATACTTTTTAATCATATACAGTCCTAATTACTTCTATAATTCCTCTAATAAACACTTCCTTATCTTTTTGTGCACGAGAAAAATACTTTTAATGTCACCTGTAACCAGTGTTAATTTTGTTGACTAACAATTTTAGTCAAATCCTAGTCAACTAAAATTTTTGAGATTTAGTCAACTAAAACAAAAATAATTCAGATGACTAAAATAGCATTCTAGTCAAAAGACTGACTAAAACTAAACTGAAATTTGCTGTCACATCCCCTGCACAGAGGGGATGTGGAAGGGGCAAAAGAGACAGACCAGAACTTGAGAAAGACACACAGATGGGCTAGGCTAGAGGGGTACAGAGAGACAGAGAGGGGCTGGGAAAGGAGCAAGAGACAGGTAGAGTCTTTAACTAAACCCAATAGATTTTAGGCGTGTCGACTAAAATCTGCTGAAGATTTAGTCAACTAAAATGTACTGGAGATTTAGTCAACAAAAACTAGACTAAAACAAAATTTAGATGACTAAAATGGCTTTTAAGTCAAAATACTATGACTAAAACTAAATAAAAGTTTGCCTTAAAATGAACACTTCCTGTAATGTGCCATACATCTTAGCTATTTTAGCCTACATTTTTAAATTCAGTTTTCAATTTCACAACAACTCAGAGGTTCATGGATAAACCCCTTAATATGCATTTCTGTAGGTTATGCATAGCCCTATTGCACCATAACCACTACATTACTGGTATTAATTATGGTGCTTAGTGTGTCCTTCTAAAAGGGCCTGCTGTTGCATTACAGACACTTCAAAATTATTCTGTCAACACGGTCACTGTTAACTTACAAGAGCAACCAAGCACAATCTCATGGGTGTGTGCCGAGACGCTTGGCTACATAAATAAACAAGCTTCTGGGGAGTGCCTTCCCAAACAGAAAAATGATCTGCAGATAATTCTAGACCATTGTAATATGATACTTTTGGTGATTTTTAATATATCGTGAAATTATAGTATAACCAAGTGACAGCTTTAAAGGGACACTATAGTCACCCAGACCACTTCAGCTCAATGAAGTGGTCTGTGTGCCAGGTCCCTCAGGTTTTAACGCATCAGATGCAAACATAGCAGTTTCAGAGAGACTTGTATGTTTACATAGCAGGGTTAAGCCAGCCTCTAGTGGCTGTCTTCCGGACAGCCACGAGAGGCGCATCTGCGACGCTGGAGGCATATTATGCCTCCATCACGCAGACCGTCCATAGGAAAGCATTGAAAAATGCTTTCCTATGGACACTTTGAATGCACGCGCGGCAATTGCCGCGCATTCGGCTCCGCTGACGTCGGCAGGGGAGGAGAGGTCACAAGCGCCGAGGGAGCCCTCGGCGCTGGATTAAGGTAAGCTGCTGAAGGGTTTTTAACCCCTTCAGCGCCACGAGAGGGGGACGCTGAGGGTGGGGGCACCCTCAGTGCACTATAGTGTCAGGAAAACCGCTTTGTTTTCCTGACACTATAGTGATCCTTTAAGGATGGACGTTCCGGATGTGGAACACGGGCAGCATTTCTTTAAACAGGCTTATTCACTAAATTCCTAATGACCCTGTACCACATTAGCAAATATAATCGGGGACCATCAGACCGATCAAGATTAAACAATGTTCAGATTTAGCAAAACAGCCTCCCAATTACTAAGAATGCAGACTGGATTTCAGCCTATCTGGATACAACCGAGTGGCTGAAATGCAGAACTGAAAGACAAAAATACGCACTAAATGCTCAAGTAGAATGAGAATTAGAATTTGCAGAAGGCTGCCAATTCACTTTATTTAACCAAATTTGAACAATGCATTTGGATTGAAACTGCAGACACTTGCTAATTCTTAGACTGGCTAACATTACATAAAATGCTATCATCTGAACAAAAGATGTTTTTGACAAAAAAAAAAAAAAAGTTTTCATAAGAACCATTTTTAGAACTCCATGGAGGTAAGGGTTAACTTGATAGATGTGATCAATATATGTCAATACTGAAAACATATGGTCATTCCCGAATAAATAATATTAGTTAAATTATATTCATAATATTTTCTTGCCTAGAATACTCTGTTAAGCGAATAACCCCCCTTTTTAGGGGAATCACACTTGTAACTAATTTGTTGCTAGGGTGGATAAAATAAATGCAAATCTGAAAAGTCAAAAATGTACTTTCTAATATAAGAAGTAGGTAAGACTGTTACAATAAAGCATTCAGTACATTGAATATTTTTCATGTACATATAGTTTTACTGTTACATAAATTGTTAAAAGCAAAGGCTGTGGAAAATTCCATCTTGGCTGTGTTCCTAACTTAGCCTCCTCCCTCTCTGACTGCAGCAAAAACAAGCAGATCATGTTACAGTTTATATCCTGTTAGAAGCAGGATGAGAAGGGCGTTACAAGATTATAGAAACTGTCAGACTAATTTAGAACTGAGCACAAAAAAAGCTTGCATTTTGGTTGCTGTTTAGCTTTGAAAAGTAAAAATGTATTTCACTATTACTACACTCTATAGGTTTTTGTTTTTTGTCCATATGCGGCTTAATAAAGGTTATACCCAATAATTATTTTACAATCTTTATGAGATATCTTTAGGTGGAATGGATGTCCAATTTTTCCATCTTTAATGGAACAACCATTTCACTTTAGCTCTTTTCTTTTACTCTAAATTACTGTGTGGGGTTATGCCCCTTGATATCTCTGTAACCCTTCTGGAATTTTGATATGGGCTTTGCCCACTTCTAATATTTCCTCTCTTGTTCTCTTTTTTGTACGTTAGTCAGCCATTTTACATGAGTTCCACTCTGGAACACACATGGATAGAGGAGGTCCTCCAAATCTCTAAACATCTGGAATGGGAGAAATGTAGGAGGACCATTTTGAGTTATACTTTAACCAATACTGTTCCAGGCCTCCCAGCCATCACTTTTAGGGACCTGTCTCACAGTCACTCTTTTGTTCCCTGTTGTCCTGCTTTTGGGGACATCAGAGAACTGTCCCAAAAAGCGTAGCGTGAGTGCTTCATTAGACACACTTGCGCTATTCTCAAGGTACTAGGACACGGCAGAAAGCACTGACATCACTTCCTGCATGGTCTGTCCTTGGCCGGCTTGCTTGCTTGATTGGCAGGCAGCCTGGCATCTCTGTCCTGCAACCTTTTAGCCCATCCATCGTTGTCCTACATTACGGAATGCCAGTGTTTAAGAGTATGCCGTTATTTCCTTCTAACAACACTATAGTCAGTACAATTCCATCTAATATATATAATAATATGGCCACTGAGATCCATGTCTGTGGAGTGTAAGGTGTATGGACAAGAAACTGTAAAGAAAATTGAATTCTTTTGAGAAATCTTAGTTCTGTGGCTAGGAGGTGCATGCAGACTTCTTATAATTATTAAGTATATAGCGCCAACAAATTCCACAGTGCTGTTCAATGGGTGGACTAACAAAAATGTGATTGTAACCAGATGAGTTGGATGCACAGGAACAGAAGGGTTGAGGGCCTGCTCAAGGGCTTACATGCCCTTATGAATCCTTTACCTTACAGGTCCAATTCAAATTCCAGAACTTTTGTCCTGCAAAATGTATCTATAATTAGTCCAAACACAATTCAATGGGTGAATTTTTAAAAATTTTTTTTTTTTCCCTAGTTGTCTAAAGCAAAACGGTCACTGGATGGCACAAAGGATATATAATTATCTTAGTAACATCATGATACAGGAAACAGAAACATGCTTTTAAAAAGGAAATGGTACCTAAACATAGGTAATCCCCTTGGCACAGATTTGGAACACTACAGATGAGACAACTGATTGGCTGAGCTCTATATGTTCACTTTATTTTTCTAATCAAGAAGATGTTTTATGAAAAGAGAAAGCATGGATAAGATGAGGTTATGTTGCAGAAAGTTGCAAAACTTGCAGGGCTAACTTAATAGCTGAAAGCAACAACCGGCGAGTTTAGCCAAGAAAATAGAGCATCCTGCTCAGAGGTGTAACTAGAAATCCCTGGGCCCTGTTGCGAAAATTGCCATTGCCCCCCTCCCAGCATTGCATATTGCGTGTGTGCATTCGTGCGTCCATTATCCAGGTAGGGGACAGCATATTCCCTGGTGCTGCAGATAAACTCTGCATTCAATTTGGCCAACTGTTCCCACAAATCCTGGTACCACGAGGAATCAAGCATTGCCATGGTTACCACGGCAACGCTCTGAAAGCCAGGACTCTGCCAGCCGTGGAGGTGAAGGCAGAGAGCCTCTTGCCCCCCCTGGAGTGATGGCCCCTGCGACCATGGTAGGTACGCCACTGATCCTGCTCTCATAGGGGAGACTGGTTCTGTCAAGTAAGAAGCAAGTTTGATTACTTACATTGGGTCAGACAACAGGGCACCACAACCACTACAGCACACTGTAGTGAAAATGTTTCAATTAAACAGCCATTGCAATTATTTAATAATAGGGGTGTCACACTATGATATAGAGCCTTTACAAACTGGGTTGTTACAACATAATGATTCTGTCTTGAAGGGGGTTAACGAGTATTTTCTAGTATTTTAGAACATCTATTCTGCCCTTCAGAATATTAAATTACTATATCAATTGTGAAGCAATAAATTATATAGATAAATGCAAATAATCACAAGGCACAATCAAGCTACTGTAAATTTGCATACACTTTGCAGAGTGAGAATTTATAATCCGCATCAGAATTTAATCTAAACACCACCCATATAAATGCAGCCATGTAACACATTAGGATTATTAAATAAACAACAACCTGTGAAGACAAGTTAAACCAAAAGAGCCAAACCAACCCCCAACAGATATGTCTTTTAGTTTGACTGTATTGGCCTAACAATTGCAGTCAGTCAAGTAAATTAATGTGAATGATTAACTGTGGGTCCCCCATCCAGCATGCTTTTTATGAGTCAACATTCTGTTGTTCCAGTTATGTAGGAGAGAAAGAATGTGGGGGAGGGACAGACAGAGGAGAGAGAGGAGGATGAGAATCATTTGAAATGGGGGGAGGGAGAGTGGAAGAAGCAAAGGTAGAGAACCAGCAGGGGGAGAGAGGAGGGGGGAGAGATATATAAAAAAACAAACAACCAAAACAAAGGTTGCCACTTTTACAGCTAACAAAACACTACATGGGAATCATACAAATATTACTCATCTTTGCAGATGCATTTATAATTGTATGTAAAGCTACAAAGCTTTTTCTTGTGGGGTTTCCTTATTTAAATTCTTATTTTTCTTTATGTTGTTATTTATAAAGCACAAACAAATTCCACAGCGCTGTACAATAGGACGACTAATAGACATGTATTTATATCCAGATGAGATTAACACACGGGAACAGAGGGGGCTCAGGGCCCTACTCAATGACCTTACATGCTGGAGGGGGTAAGGACACTATAGGCACCCAGACCATTTCATCTCAAGGAAGTGATCTGGATGCTATATATCTTCTGCTTTAAAGGGATACTATAGTGCCAGGAATACAAAGCATTTTTGCGTAAATGATTGGATAAACCAAAAAGGGGCATAAATGGACCAGTCTAGTGCAAACATCGAAATTTCCAGTATATGGATAGGTGCATTTTCCACCATTTGGTTCATAGATCAAGTAAAAATAATTAACTAATAGAGGGGAAAAAAGGGGGGGAGCGGAAGCAGAAAAATAAATTAAAATATATGAATGCATATTTATATGTACATGGTCCACTTCTAGAGGCCTGTGAGACTGAGGGTTTTGTGTGAAGTATCTTAGCTGTTCCTAGAACTGCACACTTTTGGACAGCGATCTCAGATGTCTCACCTGGAATATGCAGAAGCCACTCAGTTAAAGGGACAAATACAACTTTACCTTAATGAAGCAGTTTTGGTGTCTAGATCATGCTCCTGCAATCTCACTGCTTAATTTTCTGCTACTTGGGATGGAGTTAAATCACTATGTTTATGCTAGCCTAGTCACACCTCTATGCATGTGACTTACACAGTCTTCCTAACACTTCCTGTAAAGAGTCATCTAATTCTTACAATTTGTTGCAAATTCTGTTTAATTCTGAATTTCTTATCTCCCGCTCTGTTAACAGCTTACTAGACCCTGCAGGAGCCTCCTGTACAGGGCCGGCCCAAGACATTATGCTGCCTGGGTTCAAGGATGAAACTACATGCACATCCATTATGTTATGCAGTGGGTGTAGTGAATGCATTGTGTGCGTTTAGTGGATGCAGTGTCAGTTTTTGTGTAGTCGATGTATTGTGTACAGTGTGTGTAGTGGGGTTGGGGGGCTGTGAGCAGTTTTTTTTTAAAATGTATCATTAGGCTTATTTAACCCTCCCTTCCTGCCTCATATGTGCCCAGGAAGGAGGGACACTAAATTACCTGGTGGTCCAGTGGCACAGCATGTGTGTCTTGTGACAATAGGCCAGAAGTCTAATCTTCACCTCCTACTCCCTCTTCACAGGACAAACATGCTGTGCCAATAGACCACCAGTTAATTTAGAGTCCCACCAGGACAAATGGACGGGCTGGCCCTGCTCCTATTTGTGATTAAAGTTTAATTTAGATAGCAGGAGATACACTTTTTAAAGGAAATTTCCATCTGAATAAAAAAGAAAACATTTTTTTTTTCATGCAGGCTGTGTGAGTCACAGCCAGGGGAGGTGTGACTAGGGCTGCATAAACAGAAACAAGAGTGATTTAACTTCTAAAATAGTAGAACATTAAACAGTGAGATGTCAGATGCTTTATCTATAACACCCAAAGTGCTTCATTAAGCTAAAGCTGTTTTGGCGACTATAGTGCCCTTTTAACTTTGAGGCCACATCCCAGAGTGCTCCGATCACACCTGGGACTACTACTACTACTACTGCCTTTACTTTCCAAATCCTTTCTAGATCTTTTTTCAGTCCTTGATATTTGTGCAACATCTCATGTTCCTTCTTGCTAAAGTAATGGTTACTTGATATTGCCACATCCACCACCACTGTGGTTCCTTGTCGTCTACCACCACTAGGTCAGGTTGGTTGGCAACAACTTGCTTAATTATCTGGAAATATAAGTCCAACAGGATCTTGGCTCGACCATACTCAACTACACTTTGTGGAATCTCCCATCTGGACTTGGGCAGGTCCAGCCAATATGCTGTGAAGATATTTCTGTACACAATTCCAGCAATTTGGTTGTGGCTCTTAGTGTATGCTGTGCCTGCTAACATCTTGCACCTGGCTACTATGTGCTGGATTGTCTCAGAGGCCTCTTTTCCACACCAGACACGACCCATGGTGTAGACTCCCACTTCTATTGATTTGGTGCCTGTTCCTGTGCTGCTAGGAGTAATGCCTCAGTGCGGTTTTTCAGTCTTGCCTTTTCTTTCTGTCCTGATCATCTTCCCTCTTTATGCTCATCTGCCCACATTTCAAACAGCAGTCTAAGCAGTCTGCTGTATATCTGTGTTAGGTGGATCACTGAGTCAATGTCCGGCTCAATCTAGACATACAGCTTGATGTCGTCGTCCATGTAGAGTATGATTTGGGATATTGTTTTACCTTGGTATACACCATATTTAATGTTTACTTGTGTTATTGTCCTGGAATTGGCTTCTAGACTGGCTTTCCACTTGCCCATTGAGTTCTTGATTAAAGCTCTTATGGTCTTGCCGAAGTTGTATAGAGCCAATAATTCTAGTATCCATGTGTGTGGCATTGTGTCATAGGCTTTCTTGCAGTTAATCCAGGCTGTGCACAAATTGGTCTGTCTGGTCTTAGAATCCAGTGTGATTGATTCTAGATTTTGTGCTGTCTTCCAGAAAGCCATACATGCGTGGGTGGACCAGCATTATATATAGCCTAGGTCCCAAGAGCTTACTGGCAATTATCAACACTTACAGGTCATGTAAATCGTGCCAAACTGCCAATGGTGTCATTACAAGGCCAACAATGGGTCCACTTTAATCAAATAGATAATCTTACAAGATAAGTAACATGGGTGGAAGTAGGTCTGTGTGCAGGAATATAAATTTTGAAGCCAATTACAGATATCCTCGTTAAGCACTTACAGAGATATATTTTGTTTTTTGTAAATAGGACTCCTGGACTGTATTCATGTAGAAAACAATGGATGGTAAAAAAATATACTTTTTTTTTTTTTTTTTTAAGCTCGCTGTAGATTAACGGAGGAGAAAGACACAGACTGCCATCTGGTGGTGGACATTTACTCCAATGTCCCAAGTCTCACTCTCCATTGTTTCCATGAGCAGCTGTGCCACATTTCATTACTAAAAGGAACACTCCACACCCCATGACAACTTCAGCGCAATCAAGTTTTAAGGGGGGGATGGGGCGCATCATGCCTGTATACCACCATACCTTTAGGGTTAAACTGTTTTCTGACAAGTTAACCTTGATATCGATCGGCATCTATCCATAAACCATTGGAAAACCATCTCCTTTAGACCAGGGATGGCCAAACATTAGTGACATGGGATCTACTTTTTTTTTTTTTTTTTTTTCGGTAGCCATCTTAACAAGACTACCACCGTATCAGCATGATTTTAATGATCCCAATCACACATGTGTGTGTGGTATAACAAGATACAAATTCAATCTTTTTTTTTTTTTACATACACACACACATATGTGTGTGTATGTAAAAATAAATAAATAATATATATATATATATATATATATATACACATACACACACACACACACACGTTTAGATTACGTCTTCTCACAAACATACAGAACAATTATCTGCAGTAAGAGATGCGGCTCTTTTCACTGGCTAAAATCTTCTCCATATGGATACACAAAGTGCATTACATTAGTCAGGCTGTGTGTGTCACTTTGCAGAGCTATTTACAGAACAGCGTTCTGCAGTGAAAGATACAGCTCCTTTCACTGGAAAATATGCCTTCCATATGGACACACTGCGTTCATTTCAAATGGAAGGTCAAAATAGCTGAATAAATTCTCTAAGTCAGCTAATGCTTTCAGTTTGGCTACTCTGGCCTTAAATTTATATTCACGTTGAATTCCCAGTTTGGTAAATAACACGGATAGCACTTTACATTATGCAGGCTGTGTCACTGTGCAGAGCTAGTAACAGAATAAAGTTCAACATATGTGAGCATCTCACCATGTATATAAGCTCCTGCATATAAAAATCTCTCATGTGGCAGACGGTCACAAGATCTCTGAGCTCCAGGCAACATGAGCCTTGAAAACGCCCAATTATTACCACCTATACCTGTATTGGTTGGATGGATGAGGACCCGCCAGCTTACTTGGACCCCATGGGAAGTAAAACATAGAAACCGAAACTAGACAAGCCCTGAATGGGCATGAATAACAGATCTGTGGCAGCAGGCTAATGGCATCCTTCTGATGAGCTGTCCGGCAAAGCAGACAAGATTTACCTATCTGCTCCAGCAATTAAACCACCGACTCTGTGGCCAAACACAGACTCCGCTCCGGTAACCACATCAGTCCTAAAGGAGCTCCTCGCAGACCTGCAAAAGAACATACTGGCTGACATGGCCACGATCTGCAGGGACCTACAAGGCTTGAACACACATCCAATGTTAGCACGCAGAAAATTACATCGCTCCAACAAACTGTCCAAGAGCTACAACAGCAGAACCAAAGAAATGAGCAATGCCTTTCCCGCTCAAGAGATTTACAGCGCAGAAACAACCTTAAAATCATGGGGGTCTTATGGACTCTCCTAGAAGCTAATTTGCCTCATTTCATGCGGTGTTTGCTGGCGGCCATATTGACACCCAGACAGGCCAAAGCAATTGCGATTAATGGACTGTTCAGTGTACCCAAACTGGTCAAAGCACCACCCACATTATCTAGGGACCTGGTGGTCCAATTCCCAAGCAGTAAAGATAAAGCAGTGGTCATGGCCACTCAAAGAAAAATCGCCATAGGATTTCGAGGAAATGTCTGACTTTTTACGCTGTTCGCTCCAGGAGTACCCTGGAATGGCACCGGTCACTTCAACCGCTCCCTTCCCTCCTGTGAGAACATAGGATCAGTTACCGATGGCGCCTCTCCCACTCACTGACAATATTCCATAGGGACACGCCACACACTATCCAACACGTCCAGGAAGCTACAACGATCCTGCAGTGCTTGGGACTCCCCCAGGACTTCCTTGGTCAGGATCACCTGGAAGCAGCATCTCTGGTGAAAGTCAATTAATTCACGCCCAGACCATCTACATCGGAGGTTTATGCCATAGTCACAACATGAACGCTCCATGGATAATAAAACTTAGTTCAGTTAGGGACTCTTCCAGCCTAGGAAGTTAGCCCCCACTACCCAACCACACGACCCTTCAGACCATCTGGTTCCATACCAGCTTGCTTACCGTTTACTGACCACATATCCCCCCCCATGCCTAGGGGTTACACAGGTGCAGAATGTGCATACACTGCATGTAGAAAAGGGCAGAGGAGAATCCTCTTCATAGACCTAGCTCACATTCCACAAACCGTTTCAGTCTCTCCGTTATGATTTCCCTTCATTTTTAATGTTATCCTTCTGTTTAACACCTTTCCAGTAAAACGTGGTTTTATTATCTAGGAACAAGCTATATATGAGCAAAGCCACTATACTAAGCTAGCATTTAAATACTAAATTCACAGTACGACAAACAAACCCATTGTCTCAGATGTGAATGGTCTATTTACTGAATATTGCTATGAGTACTTCTTGTTTAACTGTGGCAAAAATAAAGAATAATAAAAAAAAATAAAAAAAATAACTCATGTATATGCCTGTTTGCTAATTCTGTGCAGCAGACCATGATAGAATTGGGTGTGAGGACTCCCGTAATCATAAAGTGGAAGTACAAATAGCTCTCATCTGGGGCACTGCTGGTGATAAAGGGTCCTTGCCTAAAGCCTAATATGATCTAGTTTGCTTCTTACAACCTCCTATGTAGCTCTGTCATAATTTATTTTTGCTTAAACAAACAGACTTGTGACTCACAGCTGAGAGTTTAAAACCACATATCATTCCAACTTCATTACTGCCCATATCTCTATTCAGAGTGCTCACGTAATGATACGATAAACAAGTGATTTCCTGTTTTTAGGACTCACGTCAGCTGACTGCTATCGTGTTTCTGTAATAAGCTGTGTAAATATGCTCTATATTCTACCTGCGTCAGGTTTTGTTAGTATGTACAGGCACTTCCTATTGCCTGGCTAATGTTCTACATGTCTACATAGCTATGTCTGCATCATTTTGGTTTAGTTTACTGTGGTTTTAAACAATACAAAATGGGTATCCCAGAATACAATCAAAACATGCGTATTATTATTTTTTTCTAAATGTGGCAATTTACTCTGACTGGACAGCCTAATGTAATTAGATGTGCATGCCTATGTTTTTACCAGTGTATATGGCTTCTTAGGGACACAATAGAAAACCCCTAAAAAACACTTGTGAGAATATCTGAATAACGTATTGGTTCCAAAATACTCTGTGAAAAGCTGGCATGGATAATGCACAATAGACATGCGCAATGAGTATGCCCTATACACCATTTGCCTGCTCATAGGCAGCCCAACGTAAATGATCATTACTATTTATACAGAGGTTATGAGAAGGAATAGTCTGAATTCATTTAACACACTGCATCATTACAATGGTTTAAACACTTATTGATATTGTGTGTTTGTATATATGATCTACATATCTATATAATACACATTTTCTTTAATGTTCTCCCTTCTATTTTTCACATTAACACTAACTTCTGTCATTACTAAAATATCCCTATCCTTTCACTCACCTGTCCCTGGCAACACCATCATCATTACTTCCACCTTACTCCCCTCCCCTCTCTATTCATCCCATGCACTCTACACATACCTTTCCAGCCTATCTCCACCGACTCTCTCCAAATCCTCCACATACATACCCTCCTACAAAACTTTCAAATCCTACTCCCACCTTCACTTCCTTTCTATCCTTCTGCTCCTAGCAGCTGGTAATGTCTCTCCAAACCCCGGTCCCCTCTCAACAAACTCAGCACATACTAACCCAAGGATCCACACTAATCTCATACCCATCTCTTGTTCCTCTAAATCCTCCTTCAATACTGCCCTCTGGAACGCACGCTCTGTTTGCAATATAACGAAATCCACTGCTGTCCATGACTACTTCATCTCTCGTTCAATAGATTTACTAGCCTTAACAGAAACCTGGCTCTCCCCCTCTGACACTGCCACCCCTGCATCTTTGTCCTTCGGTGGTCTCCAACTTACCCACACCCCAAGAAACTCTGAATGTAAAGGTGGTGGTGTTGGGTTTCTCCTCTCCCCTCACTGCTCTTTTAAACCTCTTCCCACCCCCCCTTCCCTCTCTTTCCCATCATTTGAAATACACTCAATTCGCCTTTTCAAACCCTTCGCTGCTAACATTGCTGTTATTTACCGTCCCCCTGGTTCCCCTCTTCTCTTCCTTGACCATTTTGCTGCCTGGCTACCCTATTTCCTCTCTTCTAACATCCCATCCCTAATTCTCGGGGACTTCAATATTCCTATAAACCCACCTTTGACCTCTGCAGCCAATAAACTACTTTCAATTACTTCCTCCCTCGGGCTATCACAGTGGGCAAATTCACCCACCCATGTTGCTGGCAATACCCTCGACCTAATCTTCACTTATGCATGTACGGTATCTAATATCTGCAACACTCCCTATCCTCTCTCTGATCACCACCTCTTATCGTTTGCTCTCACGTACCCCCTCACCCAACAACCTCCGCCTAACCAGCCTCAACTCAGGAGGGACCTTAATTCTCTTGATCTCCAACAATTGTCAGCTGACATTGATCCACAACTGCTGTCCATCCCTTCCCTATCCTGTCCTTCACTGGCCATCTCCATATATAACTCTACTCTTACATCTGCCTTGAACACTGCAGCGCCACTCCAAACAAGCACCTCAAGGAGGACCCGCCCCCAACCATGGCATACTAAATCAACGCGCTACCTGCAAAGATGCTCCCGGTGTGCTGAACGCTCCTGGAGGAAGTCTCGCACCCAGTCAGACTTTCTCCATTATAGATTCATACTGTGTTCATACAGTGCAGCCCTTGCCCTTGCCAAACAGTCCTATTTTTCCTCTCTCATTAGTTCATGTTCCCGCAACCCCAGGCGTCTCTTTGACACCTTTAATTCTCTTCTTCGCCCCGCTGTGGCCACCCCCCAAACCAACCTTACTGCTGATAACTTTGCATGTTACTTCACTGACAAAATTGAACAGCTAAGGAAAGAATTCTCCCCTCCTTGCCTTTCTGTTTCTCAATCACACATTGATCATGCCTTTCCTACCCTTCAGACATTCTCCCCAGCCACTGACCAAGAGGTGGCTGCTCTTCTTTGCTCCTCTCGCCCCACCACTTGCCCGCTCGATCCTGTCCCATCTCACCTTATCAGATCTCTCTCTGCTTGTCTCGTGCCTTCTCTAACACACATCTTCAACTGCTCGCTCTCTTCTGGCATCGTCCCTGCTGACCTTAAACATGCCACTGTAGTACCTATACTAAAAAAACCATCCCTTGACCCGTCCACCCCCTCTAACTACCGTCCCATATCCCTGCTCCCTTTTTCCTCAAAGCTTCTGGAAAGACTCGTCTTTACCCGTGTGTCTCATTTCCTCAATTCCAACTCTCTCCTTGACCCCCTTCAATCTGGCTTCCGCCCTCTCCACTCTACAGAGACTGCCCTTATCAAAGTTACTAACGACCTAATCGCAGCTAAATCCAAAGGCCACTACTCCATACTAATTCTTCTTGACCTCTCGGCGGCCTTTGACACCGTTGATCATGCTCTCCTTCTTCAAACTCTGCAATCGCTTGGTCTCTGTGACTCTGTCCTCTCGTGGTTTTCCTCTTATCTCTCCCAACGCTCATTCAGTGTCTCTTTTTCTAATGATACCTCCTCCCCTCGCCCTGTCTCGGTTGGAGTCCCCCAAGGCTCCGTCCTTGGTCCCCTTCTATTTTCTCTTTACACTGCCTCTCTTGGCAAACTTATTACCTCATTTGGTTTCCACTACCACCTGTACGCTGATGACACCCAGCTATATCTCTCCTCCCCGGACCTCTCCCCTGCTGTCCTGCAACGTGTCACTGCTTGCCTTTCTTCCATCTCTGACTGGATGTCCTCCCGCTTTCTGAAACTCAATCTCTCAAAAACTGAGCTCCTTGTCTTTCCTCCTCCTAATACTGATCCTCCTCTTTCGCTCTCCCTTCAAGTTTGTGGTACCAACATCAGCCCATCCTTGCAAGCGCGCTGTCTTGGCGTCATACTTGACTCTGGTCTCACCTTTGAGCCTCACATCCAGCATGTTGCCAAATCCTGTAGATTCCATCTTAAAAACATAGCCCGCATCCGCCCCTTTCTTGCACCAGATACTACCAAGGAGCTTGTCCATGCTCTAATAATTTCACGCATGGATTATTGTAACCCTCTCCTGCTTGGTCTTCCCAAAAGCCGTACTGCACCCCTACAGTCTGTAATGAATGCTGCTGCTAGACTGATTTTCCTCTCTAGTCGGTTTTCTCACACCTCACCCCTCTGCCAGTCCTTACATTGGCTTCCTGTGTGCTATAGGAGTCAATTCAAGGCACTAACTCACACCTATAAAGCACTGAACAACTCTAGCCCCTCTTATATCTCCTCACTGATCCACAGGTATGTCCCTTCTCGGTCTCTCCGCTCTGCCCGTGACCACCTCCTGTCCGTTGTCCGCACCCGTACGGCCAACTCGCGCTTGCAGGACTTCTCGCGGGCGGCTCCCTTCCTATGGAATAGCCTGCCTACCGCCATCCGACTCTCCCCTAGTCTTGCATCTTTTAAGAAGTGCCTCAAAACCCATCTCTTTAGGAAAGCTTATGGCCTCCAAGACTAACCCCTACCTCACATGCCAGTCTCTTGCCCTCTCCTAAAGGGCAGCCCACCTTATTTGATTGCACATTCCTGTCCTAATGTGTTTTACACCCCACCTCCTATAGAATGTAAGCTCGATTGTTCATGTAAGTTTATTTGTAATTGTCCTATTTATAGTTAAATCCCCTTTCATAATATTGTAAAGTGCTACGGAATCTGTTGGCGCTATATAAATGGCAATAATAATAATAATAATAATAATAAAACATTAGGTACTCACAAAAACAAAGCATCTATAATCATGAAATAAAATGCTTAAAATGACTGTTCAAGTAGTATCTGCCAGTGGAGCTTGGTTACTCTGCTGCGATAGCATCAGTACAGTCACTTTTAACAGTTTCACCCCTAATGAAGGAAAGACAAAAACGTGGTCCCAGTTTTCTCTGTTCGTTTTCATTATGCACAGAAACCAAATTTCCCTGCAAGTGCCTTATTCTGTCCCTTTGCTGTACAAGATGAGTCCCACACTCTGCAACAACCTTTTTAAGTCATGCTTCATGCGAGCACCCAGGCAGGGTGGAAAAGATAATATAAATATAGAGATTTTTTGCAAACTGAAATAATGACAGGTGAACTGCAATACCATATACCATACAGATGCAATGTATACCTCCCTGCACTTATTGTGTGTGCGCGCGCACTATTTTAAATTGTTGGCATTTTTCAGGAGATGCATTCTCAGCATCTTATTCTTTGTAAATGACCATAAGCAGGATACTTGACAGGTTTTTTTTTTTTTTTTTAAATTTTTTAACAAATATTGGTGGTAAAGTAGTGAAGATATTATGTGGATATCATTATATCTCTCAGTAGATTAAGACCAGACTTTGTAGAAACTACAATGTTAGATAGAGAAAACACTATACAGGCGTTAAAAAAAATCCCATTGTCCCAGGTGCAAATCAATTAGCTGCATCATGCAACTAGGGGAGGGAAAATATGGTCAAGTCAAGATGTACAACTAGACAGTGTTTGTTCAGAAACTTTGTAAGAACAGTGCCAATGCTCACACACTATGTTGGTACAATAGAAATTACAATACATATAAAGTAGACCAGTAAAATAAATTTTTAAAAATCCACAATGGATGATCAATAATGAGGTGCTCTTTGGGCCAGTGGAAAAGTAAAAGTTATTTTAATTTAAAAAAAAAAAGAAAAAAAGGGCACGTACCTCCATCTAGTGGTGCAGACTTGCTTAGCTTCCTATTGACTGTTTTCCCCTCCAGTGTTTCTTTTAAAGGCGGTCACAAACTTCATAACACGAAAAAGGTTTTTTACAAAATGTTAAAATATGGTTTGAATTTGCTGTGAACTGCCCAACAATTTACACATTACTGAATAAACCTGACAGTAGTGGGATTGATGTACTCTCTACACATATTCCATGCTTTTTGCTTATCATTATTTACAGATATGGCAAACACATTTTGTCGATAGATTGGTAAATGTGTGTAATGACAGTTAGTGTGACAGAAAGCTTTTAGTGTAGAAGAAAAAGTGATAGGTGAAGCATAGAAGTGCTGTATGGAAGATTACCACCATAGCAGTTTATAGTTCAGAGAGTGACATGAAAAATCTTAAAGACAATTGTTTACATCAAGATATTTTTATGGAGTATGTTTATGAAAAGCTCAAAAAGTGTTAATCTATGTATCTTTTTCCACTCACTGTTCTCAATGGAGAGCTACTCAAAGCAGATACCATCAACTGAGCTCTCTGGCTATCAGTGGTGCCTGGTCTGACATTGAGATGAAGTGCAGGGATAGAGCAATGAGGCGCTGGGTTGCAGAGTTTGGGATTAAGATATTCATTAAAGAGAACTGGTCATGATAAAATTAAATTTAACTCTTTTAAAAGAACATACAATTTCATCTATACATTGTGCTATCTGTGTTTCTAGTAAATGTATAGATTTGGATAAGAAACTATTTAAAAATAAGTTTTCTCCCATCTGACTCAATTCGTCAGCAGCCACTCAATGCCAAGGAAGTGAAAGCCAGGGAGAGCAGAGGAGATCTCTCAGCTCTCCCCCATAGCAATCAAAGTGCTTGCACTGTGGTTGCTTTGGCAACACCCTAACCAGCGCTGATGGAAATTGTGTGATGCCACACCTGTTTAGACACAGGCATGCTGGCAAAAGAGGTTTGACTTGCTTGGGGACAAATTAACAATGTGCTGAACGCTCCTGTTGGAAGTCTCGCACCCAGTCAGACTTTCTCCATTATAGATTCATATTGTGTTCATACAGCACAGCCCTTGCCAAACAGTCCTACGTTTCCTCTCTCATTAGTTCATGCTCCCGCAATCCGAGGCGTCTCTTTGACACCTTTAATTCTCTTCTTTGCCCTGCTGTGGCCATCCCCCAAACTAACCTTACTGCCGATAGCTTTGCATGTTACTTTACCGACTAGATTGAACAGCTAAGGAAAGAATTCTCCCCTCCTTGCCGTTCTCTCTCTCAACCACACATCGATCAGGTCTTTCTTACCCTTCAGACATTCTCCCTGGCTACTGACCAGGAGGTGGCTGCTCTTCTCTTTTCCTCTTGCCCCACCACTTGCCCACTCGATCCTGTCCCATCTTACCATATCAGATCTCTCTCTCCACTTGTCTCGTGCCTTCCTTAACGCACATCTTCAACTGCTCTCTCTCTTCTGGCATTGTCCCTGCTGATCTTAAACATGCCACTGTAGTACCTATCCTAAAAAAATAAAAAATAAATAATCTCTTGACCCGTCCTCCCCCTCTAACTATCTTATCCCTGCTCCCTTTTTCCTCAAAGCTTCTGGAAAGACTGGTCTTTATCCGTGTGTCTCATTTCCTCAATTTCAACTCTCTCCTTGACCCTCTTCAATCTGGCTTCCGCCCTCTCCACTCTACTGAGACTGCACTTATCAAAGTTACTAACGACCTAATCGCAGCTAAAGCCAAAGGCCACTACTCCATACTAATTCTTCTTGACCTCTCTGCTGCCTTTGACACCGTTGATCATGTTCTCCTTCTTCAAACTCTTCAATCAATCACTCGGTCTCTGTGACTCTGTCCTCTCGTGGTTTTCCGCTTATCTCTCCCAATGTTCATTCAGTGTCTCCTTTTCTAATGATACCTCCTCCCCTAGTCCTGTCTTGGTTGGAGTCCCCCAAGGCTCTGTACTTGGTCCCCTTCTATTTTCTCTTTATACTGTCTTTCTTGGCAAACTTATTACCTCTTTTGGATTTCACTACCACCTGTACGCTGATAACACCCAGATATATCTCTCCTCCCCGGACCTCTCTCCTGCAGTCCTGCAACGTGTCACTGCTTGCCTTTCTTCAATCTCTGACTGGATGTCCTCTCGCTTTCTGAAACTCAATCTCTCAAAAACTGAGCTCCTTGTCTTTCCTCCTCCTAATACTGATCCTCCTCTTTCGTTCTCCCTTCAAGTTAGTACCCACATAAGTCCATCTTTGCAAGTCTTACATATTACTCTACTTTAACCCCTTAAGGACCAAACTTCTGGAATAAAAGGAAATCATGACATGTCAGACATGTCCTGTGTCCTTAAGGGGTTAAAGCAACAAATGGTTTCAAATACAAAACTTTTAGATTTTTGTTCCCCAGAGTACATCATCACTGTCCAAGATGTGAATTTTTTTTTTTTTTTTTTTTTTTGGCCACAACACATGGTGGTTTTGAGTCACAATAAATATTTCCCACCAAACATAACTACAAGACCATATATATATATATATATATATATATATATATATATATATATATATATATATATATATATATATATATATATATATATATATATATATATATATACACATACATACATACATACACACACACACACAAAAAGAATCATACAACAGGTTGCTGTAAATAGGCTTTGTTTCCAAATTGTGTTAGTACAAACTACATTTCTCATACAAAAGTTAACATATATAAAATGAATTTTTGGTTTTAAATTTCATCAATCAGGAGTCTGGCTTGGCATAATGAAAATTGTTACACAGTATGAATAAGTTAAATCTTTGCAAATAGTTATTAGGTCTCGTACCATCAAAAACAAGGTAGTGAAGAGAGATACAGTGCGCTCTCCTATCACTATGTACCTGTGATGAAGGTGAACATTAATTAAGTATAAATTCCAGGAAGAATCAATAGGGCAAGATATACTTAATAAAACAAAATTAGCAGAGTTAGTAAAGAAAGGTATCCAACACTTCTACAACTTTACAACAATTTATACAAAAAGTTCTAACTAGATGATTTTAAGATAATACAGGTACTGGGCTTGATTTATCCTACTTTACATACTTTATATATTTTGGTTGTGTACCACAGTGTAGTGTATAATTCTAAGTCAAGTCCAAATTCGCTGCTTAATCATTAGCAAAGGCTCCATAATGCATTCCTGAAATGTATAAAGAACTACCCAAGTGAGTAACACACTACAGACAAAGAAAGTTTCGGTCACATTTCTGGAATCTAGAGGGGTTGCACTGAATGTACTTTTTAGGAATTTTCATTGCTGGACACAAGATTGATCATATATTGGTCATGACAGGGCGAGAGTATTATTGCTTTTCAAGATTTACATGTTTATAGGTTCCCTATACCACTCTACCCTTTTTTCTTACTACGCTTGTAAACTGTCTCACCTACTCAGCTCTTACTTATTTATTTCATATATTACTGTGTGGTCAGAAAGATTAACTTCTTCTGGATTAATGGTCTTCAGGGTACCTTAAGAACTAGCACAGTATTTCATTCCAAATAATCTCATTCCCAAGCCTTACAAAGAAAATCAAACAATCCACCTATGCAAGTTCTGCAATCACAATGAAATAAGCAAAAAGTCTTCCTGCAATATTAATCATCAATAAGATACAGCCTGCTGCGTCTGCAGGATTCCCTTTTGCAGAATATTCACCATAATGGAAGGTTACAAGAGATTTCTTCTGGACTAGCAATTTGTAACATGGAAGCGTGGTTTTCTAGAATTCTTTTAAGAATGAAAGCACGCAACACACCAGTGTCTAAAAGACTAGCCACTTTAAATAATTAACTCGGTAAGGTTAGATTTGTAAACGACATGATTGAACAATGACAATTTGTAATACCAGCAACCTCAAAATCGATTTAAGGGAATAGATTCCCATTATTGGAAGTTTCCCTTCAAACTAAATTTAAAGAGAAATGAAAGCAAAGACAGAGGATAGAAACCTATAGTAGTCTTTCACAAAGTGACTCCTATAAATTAAGGGAACACAATAGTGTCAGGAATACAAACTCTGTATTCCTGACACTATAGTGTTTAACTATTTAGGTACCCAGCCCCCTTAGCAGAGATCTTTAATCTTGATGATCTCAGCCAACCCCATGCTTTCCCATAGAAAAGCATTGGGGGGCTATTGCACATGTGGATCAAAAAGCCACGCTTCAGCAATCAGCATCTCCTCATAGAGTGTCTATGTGGAACGTTCAGCATCTCCATGGTAATCTTGAACGCCAGTGCTGCACACACAGTGACTGCAGCTAGACAGTGCATCGTAAACACTTCTGTTTCCCTGAAAAGGCAGTGTTGACAATGCTCAGCCTGCAGAGACATACTATAGGCACCAGAACCACCGCATAAAGCTGTAGTGGTCCTGGTGACTATAGTGTCCCTTTAACCCCTTAAGGACCAAACGTCTGGAATAAAAGGAAATCATGACATGTCACACGTCATGTGTCCCTAAGAGGTTAAATGGCACACATTGACCGTCCATTAGAATAATGATCTGCCCAAGGCTGATTAGTGGATCTTGGAAATTGTGGACAATTAGCACAGCTGCAGTGTCACAAGATACTACAAGTGCTGAAATTATTTTGACTTGGTCCATAAGGATAAGGTCTAGTGCTAAAGCCCACACTCTTTGGTCATTCCCTGCATTACTAAAAAAAAAAAGGTCAGCTCTGGCCTGCAGTTTCAGAAGGTTGTACAGAGGAATAGCTGTGGGTTGACTGCCGGGTGAAGAATGATGCTGCTCGTTTAGGTTTCACTCTTTTGATTTCAGCACCTGGAAAAAAAAATAAAAAAAAATATGGCATTGAAAAGTTACCATTATGTTATAGATCTATACATATCCCTTATTCCCTGTGCAACTTACAGAGAAAATATCACTTATTTGTCCATGACACTCCAACTTTCTGCATGTTTTCTGCTGCCAACATGGCAATACAAGAACAATATACTTTCTAGTTTTAGGTAAAAAAATAAACATCTTTAATTCCCCAAATGGGCAGAATTTTTGTAAAAATAAGAAATACACTTATATAATGCAGCAGCCAATGATGTACTGAAAATTATCAAATATTTGGGGCACTTTGAAACATGCAAGGGGATTGGTGAATTGAATATTATCAGTGGATATTTTATTATATTAATTTTCCTGGGGCTTCCAGAAAATAAGGACAAGCTAAAATACCTAGGCATAACACTAACCCTCAAACTAAAAGATCTGGTAGAAGCAAATTTCCTACCCTTAATAATCCAAACCAATAAAATCTCAAAGACTGGAAAGGGATGGGATTTTCCTGGGCAGGCAGGATCAATATCCTAAAAGCATTTATATTACCAAAATGGCTGTATTTATGGAGAATGATCCCACTTGACTTCCCAGAAAAGTGGTTATCCTTGCTACACTCCTCATTTTCAAAATCTATACGGGGTGGTAAGAAAGCCAGAGTCAAAATGAAAGTGATGGCCAGAGCGAGGCAAGATGGGGGCCTGGGATGTCCGGAAATATTACAATGCTATCAAGCTAGTAGACTTTTCCACTTAATGCTTACACATAACATCACAGCAAACCAAGAATATGGTACAATATGGAAAGAGTCAAAACCAAGGTAGGAAATTTAACATCACTATTCTGGGTTCTGGAAGGGAACAAAAAAAAAAAAAAAAAAATCTATCCAAGAGGCACGAACTAAATCTCAGATTCTCAAAGAATTAACGAGTTGGTGGGATAAATTCTCAAACAACATAGGCTTAAAAGAAATAGAATAATAAACTCCCTTTCTCTAGCATTATAGATATGATAGATAACATAAAAATAGGCACTTGGATATCTGGAGGGATAAGGGAATTCACAAATATTCTGGCGGAACAAAAAAAATGAAAACCTTTAATCAAATTAAGGAGGAATTTAATATTCCCTCCAAGGAAATTTTCAACTTCCTGCAAATTAAGGGCTTTTTAGCAAAACACCTTTCCCACCAAGAGGGAAGAAAATTAGAGCCCTCAAATACTTATTTGAATTAAAAAATGTAATGAAAAAAAATGTAATGAACTATAAAATGTAATGACAAAAAGTGTCATTAACATGGTTATTATACCTACTCTTGGATATAAGAAATAATTAAACCAAATATAAGTTATATACAAATGAAGACACGATAAATCAATAGAACTTAGCAACAAATGGGAAAAACGACAAAGTACTAATAGAAGAATGGATTAGTTCTCTAAACAAACTAAATATGTACACTGTTTAAACCTTACAAAAAACCCAATTTAAGCTTTCAAACAGATCGTACCGAACACTGAAATTGTTTAAAAAAAAAAAAAATTCCCAGAATCCTCAGACAGATGCTGGCAATGTAAAACTAATGACGGTAATTTAATTCATAGCTGGTGGCACTGTATAACCATAAACAACTACTGGAAAGAAGTAATCAATACAATATATCAACGGACAGAAGGGAGGTTGGCTTTCAAGCCTGAAGTAATTCTACTAAACCTGCAATGGCCAAAAATGACAAAAACAAACCAGATGATTATCTTTCATATAATTACTGCTGCTAAATTAATGCTAGCACGAAATTGGAAAACTGTGGTAATACCAGGTATCCAAGACTTAATATTGCAAGTGACATAGCAAGCAATAATGGAAAAAGGCGTCCCAGTCTTCTATTTGTGTGTATTGGTTTCCTAAATTCACCAGGATGCATGGATAAGCAAATTGGAAAATATAACATAACACATTAGCATGGTTATTATACCTACTCTTGGATATAAGAAATAATTAAACCAAATATAAGTTAAGTCTCAGAAGATAGAACAGAGGAATAGAAACGAGGAGGGAGGAAATGAAAATGTCACAGTTTACTTGTTGAATCATGAATTTTAACTATTTTCTTTGCAAATCAATTGCAAAGGGTTTAAAAACGTATTTCTTTAAAAAAATAAAATAAAAGGTACTATTGGGCATTCTTAGCAAGGCCTCTGTACCCTTTTGAAAAAGTGGAGAAATAAATAAAGGAAATTGAATAAAAAAAAATAAAAAATAAATCCTGCTCTGGGTGAAGCTCCTGAAGCTGATCTCTGATCCTCTGCCCAAAAAAGCTTCAAAGGCAATCAAAGGCCTCTCATCATGACTATATGCTGTTCAGGACTAGCAAATATTTTGCACAGAATTAACATTTGCCAGTCCTGAACAATATGATTGCTGGGGGTATAACAAACCCCTGGCATGGAAGTGCAAGCTTCAAACAGAACCCTGCCCATACAGACTCCTAACACCATAACCACTTCAAATCCCTGAAGTGGTCATGGTGGTTGGATTAGCCCACAGACAACAAAACTCTTTCAAAAACATCACAGACAACTAGCTCAGATCCCCATCACTTTAACAGAACTACTTTTAAGGAAAGAGATGTTCCACTTTTACAGCATCATGCTTACCGTCTTCTACATAGTCTATGGTAGAAAGGTTTTTCATTCGGTTACACAAGACACTCTCCTGTCTGTGCAGTTTGGGACGTTTTTCGGACAACTGGGAATTGCCAGGTGCAGATTCTGATACGGGCGACTCTGTTGCTTGATTTAACTCTATGCAGTACTCAATAAGACCACTCATGAGCTCTGCCTAAAACGAGAAAAAAGTTGGAATTATTTAACTCTATTGAAACACTTGGAGTTGTGAAAACTCGGTAGCTCATTTTTCAAATCTAGTTATTTTCGTCTAGACTGTAAATTCTATGATAAATGCAAGACTATTTTAACAATCAATACATTGCGATAGCCTATATATAAATATAATTTTGTTTTTTATTGTATGTATTGGGGCTTATGTGTATTATGGCCATTGCTGCCACCCAGGAGTTGTAAGAGTTTGAGCGCAGGTCCTAATTTTGTATGTTGTATTTGCTGTGGTTTAGAAAAAATACCCTCTCTCTGCCTCAGAGGTTTTTCCTCTTGTTCTGGCTACCTGATCCCCCAAGTAAGTAGCAAAACTAGTCAAAAACTAGCTGCAACTAAAGATGATTTAATTAACTATTTAAGTCACCTGTTTGGAGTATATTTTCAGCAGTTTGTTGACTGGGGTTCCTTCATTGTCTCCGTCAAATTCTAGCCACAGGATAGGTTCATCATCACTAGGATATGTGTAATCCCAGGACAACTCAGAATACTTTAGGCTTATCAAGACATGCTTGTTACGAAGAGGAGCAAAAAGAAAAAACAAAAAATACACGTTTTTAGTAAAAGCATAGAGGGCAGATACTTTTGTATAGACGAGTGTAAATCAAAATTTGCAATGGACACATTGGATTTAAAGGGATACTGTAGTGCCAGGAATACAAAGCAGTATTCCTGGCACTACCGATCCCTCTGCCTCACCCCGGTAAACAAAGGGTTAAAAAAAAAACAAACACACCTTACTTACCTTATCCCAGCCCCAATGTACCTCGGCGCTAGGTCAAAGCTCCGCCCCCTCCTCCGTCCCGAGACATGCGGAGGTCTAATGCGCATGCGCGGCAAATGCTACACGGATAAGACCTCCCCAAAGGAAACCATTGTTTCACTGCTTTTCTATGGGGAACAATCTGATGCTGGAGGTCCTCATGCAGAGCGTGAGGACGCCCAGCAGCAGATTACGGACCAAAGGTCTGTTTTGATTCCGGAAGCGCCACTGAGGGCAGACTTAGTAAACATGCCACCCTCAGAACATTTGACTGCAAACCTGACAATTATGTAGCCATTACAATTCAACAACGCCGGAAAGCAACAGTTCAACAACACTCACGATGAACCACTATATGTTCTAATCAGAGACTGGAGTTGTTAGGCTCATTGATTTTACAGCGGGATGAATTACACATGAAACCATTATATCTGTAGTAGCTTTACCTTTTCTTTTCTGTCAATTACAGACACGCCTTCCATGTTAATGGCAACCGATACGGTCTTGCGTCCATTTCTACTGAGTAATCCTTGCGCAGGTTTGTCAACTGTTCCCACGAAAAATGCACATCTGGAGACACATTTAAGCAAAATCCAGTAAATATAGAACAATTCTCAATATATGTACTACTTCATAACAAATAATCCCTAGAAACCCAGTGTAATACACACCCATAGTAAGGGAGATCATGACACTTCTTCAGATAAGCCTTGTAGTGACAATTCATGGCCTCTGTCTCAGAACAAGCACTAGTGTCTTTAACGTCTTTGTAAGTGTTTAGGAGTGTCTGCTCGAAACTTGCTTGGCGCCCACCTTTGCTTCTGAAAGCAGTCAGCAGGCCTCCGTTTCTCTTCTTGCACATATGTTGTGGAAGATAGCAATCCAATTTGGGCCTGGTGGGAAGACACCACAAATCTTTGAAAAAAGGTCCTTTAAATTATAAAAGAAAGCAAGGTTGGGGACCAGAGAGCATCAAGACTATAAACTAATGTAAAATGTATGCAATGGGGATGTTGAGAGGACATACCTGCAGTGGACTGTCAGTTGATCAATCTACCTGTATAGCTGTAAGAGCTGAATTAAGGTAAGAAAACAGTTTTTCACCTATGGCTTTACCTAAGTGTAGAAGGAGTATGCTGCTCCTCATCATAAGGACCAAGTTCTACCCGGCAGACCAAACCACCCAGCTTCTTACAATCCTCTACATCGCACGGATATCGACCTTCCAAGACATTGTACTTGGCCTCTTCATATAACAGTTTTAAGACAACATCATGAGAAATCTAGGTAAGGGATAATAAGTCACATGGTAATAAAGTAGCTTCTAACATCTGAAGGTCTTGATGCTGATAGCAAAGTTTAACTTCTCATTTTCACTTGTAATGGTTCGTACAATAACAAATTTTTCATGTGACATAAGAGTACATGCAGTGCTTCCCCCTTAGAAACAGAAGGCTAGAGATTGGTTAGTTATCCAAGCAGTTTCATGTCAAAAGTGCATAAGTCTACTAGTGACTAGAGAAGGATTGGAACCTGGAGATTTACTACAAGGAAAATAACTATATAATCTAGATGTACTTCTGATTTCCTTATCTCGTGCCCATCTGCGATGTGTGTGCTTGCAGATTTTTTATATCCCTCATTCTTTAAGGCAGGGGTTGCTTCCTTTTTTTCCCCCTACACAATTTACTACTGTATAATAAATTGTAAGGATTTCCCTGTTTCGGTTGTCATTATTTCATAGAACTAACCTGAAGTTCACGTGCTTTAGGTAGGAAAATATTTCTTCGGAATTGCAAAGAAGGTTCATCTAGAATAAAGTGCAAAAATAAACCAAACTATGGGTATAAATATAAATATAAATAATAATATAAATAAAAATAAAATCAGAAACAGTTCATCACTATTATTTTCCTAAGAAAAGTCACTTCTCAATTAAATTGTCGAGGTGCAACGGTCCGGTTTACATTACAGGGTTAAATTCACCTCTAGTGGCTGTCTTTCAATTTTTCCAATTAAGTTTCATTAGATTTTAAAGTAAACCGACAAAATATTTTAGACAGTGGAAACCATAAATATTGATTTGATACAATGCTGATGAAATAGATTGTACAACATCAATATATTGTAGGAAATCATGTGTAAGTATTTACACATTTGTCGGTTTCATCTTGGATGTCTCATAGTACCCATATGGAGATCACAAAGTAATCAGTGTGCAAGGTGGAAGAAATAAGCAAGAAAAGGAAGGAAAAATAAAGCACATAAAAAGCTACTCCAAGAAAAACCTCCTCCAGCCCCCACCTAGACAATCGGGGGTTTGTTTCTATATCTAGTGTATGGAAACAATAAAGATCTGTTCCGCTTAGCAAAGAGCACAGTAAATATGCAACTCCCAAGGACACCAGTTCCTGCCTTCCACCTATAAAATACAATTTGTTTACTTACCTAGGTGAATGTCATCTATGGAGCAGTTTGTGAAACGTGCCAAGAGATCATGCCACTGCCGGCAAATTTTGTAAGGCTGATGCTTTGGTTTTAGTTGTACCTCTGAAACATTAAGAATAACAAATAACTTTCACTGTGTTGTCATTGTACCATGCAGATGACAGGTCCACTTTAAAAAACAAAACAAAACAAAAAACAAGTGTTGTGTCATTTATGTACATCTTACCCAGAAAAGGAGATATGAGCCACAGTGCAAACACTTCCTGTGCGATATCAGGTAAATGCAGAGCAGCACGTATCAACCTGTGGATCTCTTGAGCTGGGGTGATGGAAATGCTGCTGTCCAAATTAAGTGGAACACTCTCATCGTTAACTAAGTAAACAATCACGTCCACTTCTGAATAGGGAGGGAGAAAGAGATTAAACCTAAGTGAGAAAAACCATGTATGCACACTTTTTTTCCCTTGTAAAATGAAATCAATCATAAACATTTAAATAAAGATGTGTACCATTACCCAATTTGTGATTACAGACACTTAAATTTGGTATCACAGGATCAACATACATGTGTTGCAAGATTACTGTACACAAATGACACACAAATGTATTGCATATAAAGTGAACATTTCAACTAAATCTGTCATGGCATGTTCACTTTCAAGGAAAGCTGCAAAAACCATAACCACTAGAGCAAGCTGTACAGGTTATGGTGCAATGAGTGCCCTGGCACCCACCAATGTATGTAATCAAATCATTAGCTAATGGTTTAAAAATCAACCTGGAGTCTGCAGTGCTTAAAGGACCACTATAGGCACCCAGACCACTTCGGCTCAATGAAGTGGTCTGGGTGTGAGGTCCCCCAGATTTTAACCCTGCAGCTGTAAACATAGCATTTTCAGAGAAACTGCTATGTTTACACTGAGGGTTAATCCAGCCTCTAGTGGCTGTCTCACTGACAGCCACTAGAGGCCGCTTCCGCAATTCTCACTGTGAAAATCAAAGTGAGAAGACGCTGACGTCCATAGGAAAGCATTGAGTAATGCTTTCCTATGGGCGGTTTGAATACGCGCGCGGCTCCTGCTGCCCATGGGCATTCGGCACTGAAGTCGGCAGGAGGAGGAAAGTTCTCAATGTAGGAAGTGATCAGTGCCCAGTGAAATATGAGTCCTGGTACTTTTTCCCACCTTTAGCAAAACATTTAATTACTTGTATTGTGGGTGGGACCAGTGCACCCCTGATCATAACCAGTGCACTGTTGTGGTTAGGATGCTTGAGGGTTCCCTCCCCCTCTCCCCCCACAAATCCCCCATTGAATTCAAGACACAGACATAAATTGTATGATGATTAAAAATTACATTTGAGTCATAGGTATCCTGTGTATACACACTGAATTCCAACTCAAAGGTCAGTACTAACTACATACAAAACTATAAAACAGGACACAATACAATTGACACATACGATGGTTTCCTCCTGAAGAGACACTGCTTCTCAATGGATATTCTTCTGAGTGTGATGATATTTCACTTCCATCCATCTAAGGGGGTGAAATAATATTTTTTTTAAATAATGATAGCTAAAAAAACAAAACCCCTGAGATTAAATGGTAGGTTAATGAAAACAGAGCATACATGTTTAAAACAGCCCTCTCAACCAGACCTTTTAGAATTTAAATGGTAGTTTCACTAACATACTGTACATTTATATAGACATATGGTATTTTTCAATAAATAAATAAATGCATGGAGTATCAAGTTATTTGTTGTGGTAGGTAAACAGTTGCACTTCAGTTGTTAAAGGGACACTATAGTCGCCAGAACAACTACAGCTTAATGTAGTTGTTCTGGTGAGTTTAAAAGCTCCACTTCCTTCAGGCATTTTCATGTAAACACTGCCTTTTCAGAGAAAAGGCAGTGTTTACATTGCCCCTAGGGACACCTCCAAGTGGCCACTCCTCAGATGGCCACTGGAGGGGCTTCCTAGCTCAGGGCTGCACAGTAGGCTGCCCTGCCGTTCAGCGCCCCCACGCTCTGCATGGAGATGCTGAATTTTCCTCATAGAGATGCATCGATTCAATGCATCTCTATGAGGAGGTCCTGATGGGCCAAAACGGCATTTAGCCCCACCCAGTGCCAATGTAATTCTTTTCCTATGGGAAAACATTGGATTAGCTAAAAAAAAAAATCGGCCATTTTGATGTCACAAAGAGGGCAGAGCGAGCGCTGGTGGACCCGCGCGGCGCTGGAAATAAGGTGAGTTTTAAACTTTTATAGGGGGGCAAGCCACCTAAATTGTGGGTTTAGCACTATAGGGTTTGTACATGTTTGTGTTGCTGACCCTATAGTGATCCTTTAATGAATGAAAATATCTTACCAGACCTTTCACTAGTCTGTGTGGATAATCTTCAGCTTCAAATCAAAAGGGAGGGCAACAGTTTGCTACCATGTGTTTGGTTCATAGAAAGACTTACCTGCTACAAACAGCAAGTCCCAACATAAATGAAATGGCACACTTTGAGGTTTAGGGATAGTTCAAGGATTTACAACTAACATTTTATAAAAAGGAGCAAGGAATTGGGCATCACCGATCTCTAGCATGGCTTGAGAATATAAATATTGTATTGGAGCATATAACATATGCAAATGCATTGTATTTTCCTTAAAAGGTTTGTCAAGACCTGCACGTTCAAAATTGCCATTCCCTTGTATAGTGAATGCAAAAGAGTGAATATTCTTTTAGCTTCATTCCAAGAGTGCAATTGTAAACACAAAGAGGAGAGATGCCTGAAATCTTTGAAACAACTTCCTCTATTTTTGTTTGTGTGAATCCTAAAATAAACAAAATAAATAAATAAATTACAAAACCTTACTTTGCTGGTATAAAACACCCACGCTATTACACAAGACAAAGAAATATAAAGATTTTTATATATATCACAGCAGCAACTGTACATTGTAGTATTAAAAGGGGCCGTAGTAAAATAATTATCCCTTTCACAAACTGCCCAAGGATAGTACAAGAACACTCTGAGTGCAACAGAAAGCTGTAGTTGTTATGGTGCCTGGAGTGAGCCAAGCACTGCAATGAAGGTCTATCTGTTGACACACTCACCTAAAGGAAGTTTATGCTGAGGTACAAACGAAACAAACAAAAAAAAAATTAAAAATATTACGCTAGCAAAATTGTTAGAAAATGTATATGCTGTCCAAAAAAAGCCATTTAAAATGTAGCACATCATTCACCTGCCAATCAATCCTTAGTATAGCCATGCTGTGCCAGGAATGAGTTGTAAGGCACACAGAAGAGCCTACTTATAGATAGTTCTCCTGCTCTTCATTACAGCGATATATCTTTAGCAGGTGCAGCGCATTTCTTGCAGTAGGGATATAGGACGTTTCGGACAGATGTTTTGGCCTAACATGTCAGTGTGGTGTCATTATGGAGGATTGCCCTGAAGCCATTACAGCAATATCACTTTAATGTTCCTTTTTGTCGATTAAACAACTTGTTACAATAATCATTCTTGCGTCCACTTTTACAACTCAAAATCCTATTCCCTGGACATGGTAAGGAAAAAAATAAAATAAAAAAAATCCGTTATCGGACGCTGGACGCCCATGTTAGGCCAGATTTTTCCCCATAGGAAAGTATTGATTCAAGCATTAGACCGCGCTCGTTGCGGGACAGAGGAAGGGGCGGAACTTCGACCCAGCACTGAGGGACATCAGTGCTGGGATCTGGTAAGAAAAACATTTTTTTAACCCTTTATTTACCGGGTAGGAGGGGACGCGAGGGAGAGGGGAGGGATCGAAATACAGCTTTGTATTCCTGGCATTACAGTATCCCTTTTAAATGTGTATTATATTTTGATTTTGTGACTTTTATACTTCATATTAATTGTTCATATACTCCTCCTTACATACTCAATATTCACGTTCTGTCATTTATTTTAGAATATTCTTTATTATCTTTAAGCAGGCTTGTTCTTCAATATGGGATTAATTTAAATATCAGTGTCTACATGTTTAAATAGAAATTTCTTTTTCGAGGCAGGGGTACTTTTTTTTGAGCTTCAGAAGTACTTCTTCATAAAAGGTTGAGAAACATTGGTCTAAAACATGTAACTGGTTAGGAAAACAGGCAAGTAAACAAAATGCTAATTACTGCTACTAAGTTTAAAAAAAAAACATTTTCAGTAAGATGCCAGCTGGGCGCAGTGACATTTGAGGTTGCTAACCAACAATACATGCACTTCCAAATAAAGAATAGGCAACAGTGGGTGACATTTGTCACAGAGAGCAGCTTTCACAGCCGTATGAGTAAACAGACAAAACTGTTTACCAAGCTCAGCTGTTCTCAGACGCCTAAAGCGTGCTCACAGTGGAATGATTTAATCCAGGACCCAATGAAAACACAAAAGTTCTTAAAAGGGACTCTGTCAAGCCAAAAAAAATATTCCTGGAACAAAGGGATTAATTAATGTATAGGAGTACATCACTGCAATTAAAAGACTGCAAAGAGCAATTTTACATTCTCCCCGGACATTCAAGATAAGTCCAACTTTATCTATTTTCTCCCATGTGCCATTAACCCTAATATATTTATTCTCTTACAGTTGACAAAGCTAGGCAAAAAATGCAGAGCTACCGCTATCAAGCCCTTAGCCGGCATTAGTGAGCTTTGTCTATGGCAGGTATAGGCAACCTTGGGCACTCCAGATGAGTGCCAGCATTATGGGGGATGTAGTCCACAACATCTGGAGTGCCGAAGGTTGCCTATCCCTGGTCTATGGAGTCTACCGCAGGATTCTGTTGCACAGGCCTGAATGTACAACAATGACGCCAGCTTCTGGCAGATGAAGTTCCAGGAGCTAAAGAGGATTCTGCAGTAGAAGATGGTGGAGTCCACGAGAGACAGGTTCAGGGAAGTAAGGCTCATCTTTTCCAGCACCCCACAGCCACCACATTGCCAGTGGTAAAGCATACATCGGGGTCTTTGCTAAATATTAAAAGACCCCAGAAGGTGACAGAGCTGCTTTAAGACATCTTTCCCCAAAAAATGAACACATAATAGAGAAAAACTATGAGGGGAAAAATGTAGTGATACATTAAACAGAGAATTTGCAGTTGAAATTATTTCTTCCAAACACAAATTCATTAAATTGAAAACAAAATTACACAAAATGGCATAAATATAAATTAAAACAAGTCACTCTAGAGACTGACTTAATTTGGAGAAATAGCTCAGGAAATACTACTCAAATAATTCCTGAAAATAAACAGGGACATCAGAGGTTTGCTGAACCATTCCTTATCCCCTAATGACTTTAAATCCTCTCCCACGTCAGGTATGCGACTATTAAAATGCCTTTCCTACATCTGTCAAAGAGGAGAATGATGACAGGAATTAAACTACATACGTTAAAAGAAGCTACATTGTGGCTTCTACTGATTCACTGTAGAGTGTCAGCATTTTTTGTTTGATCTCATTTTATTTGCAGCACAGTCTCACATTTAAAAGACCTACATTTATTTGCAGCACAGTATCACATTTAAAAGATAAGCGTTCATGTTCAGTCCACTAACAGGGCTATTGACTAAAGAGAATTCAAAGTGAATTTGGAATTTAAGATCAAAGTAACTGAACTGGAAGCATAGTTGACTAAGAGGATTTATACAGTTCGACTATTTTGTCATTAAATTTGAAATTCACTAACCCTGTTTGTAGTACCTTTAGTCACCCAGCTGGATTGAGCATATAGAAGACAGGGAAGCTACTTGCACAAGCAGTTTTGTTTCTTGGAGAAACCCTAAAAGAATTGATAATGGCTAGAAACAAATAACTTTTTTTTATTTACATTTAAAAAAGTATAACGCGCACGCGCACGCGCACACACACACACAAATCTGAGCATACAATGGCAACTTGTAAGGACTGGCTAGTAACAGAACTTCAAATTTGAAGCACTGTATAAAACAACTTTGGAACATATTTAATATCTGTGTGAATATATAATTACAATTTGCTTGCACTACATTTAAATAAAGCTGACCCCCCCACCTACTATTCATCTTTGTATCAAATCACGAGGCTCTGATTCTGCTCCAGTGACATCTGTTTTAAAGCAAAACGTTCGATTCTGGGAAACCTTTGTAGAAAGGCCTCAATGTGACGTGTTTGCCTTCATATTTGGGCTTAACCTCTCCTTCATTGAGCCCTCAACCTTATTTTTCAGTCTTCAAACTAGCAGGATACACATAATATTTATACTCTTGCTTATACAAGAAGCACAAAGAAAGAACGAACAATGGAATATTCTCCACAGTTGTTCTTGACATGCACAATTACATGAGATAAGCCATCTAGTGACACAAGGATATGCCTTTTCCCCATCAAAAAGTAGCATATGGAGGAGGTGTAGAGCCAAGGTAATGTACAGATAATAGACCAGCACAGATGAGGTTGGCGAGGAGTAAGGAAAGGTAGGAATGCAAAAGATAGTAATGGTATTTCAATACAAGTGGAAAGAATGTAATAATTGAGACATAGCAAATTAGCAGCTACTGGAATGTGTGTGTATGGAGAGAGACATGGAAACAATAGCATATTGAGGAGTTTGTTGGTTCTATAAAAAAAACAAGGACAACAGCTGTTTAAATATGTCGAAGCCAGTTGGCGTGTTGGAAAAAAAAAAAAACAGAAGAGCAGGGATTAATTAACTCTGTGGCGCAAGTTATGATCAGATTTTTCCAGGGATTGAAAAGATTTATAGAGAAGAATTAAAGAAGACACCAATGTAGGGAGCCATTGGTGAAGAGGAGATTTTGAGGGTGATAGAACAAGGTGACAGGTATAATACTGTGCTCTTTCCTAATGAGCTTTAAAAATTAAGCAAATTTTTTTTTAGCAGAGGTTACAGATACAATTAACACATAAGTAAACATACTAACACAACAGAATTTTAAACTGACTTTCTAGGAGTTTTATAAACAGGGATATTTAACACAGCCTTGAGCTTACTATGTAAAGTAAAAGAACATCAGTTTTAGCTGGGTTAAATTGCAGAAAAAGAGTGAGGATATCCTGTAAGACATTTCACAATTGTTAAGAACAGGCACGTGCCAGCTAAGCCATGAAAGGATGTGGGGTCAATTATATTTGCCATCAATTGTGTCAGCTCAACATGCAGGAGACCCAAATCGGTATGTGCAGACAGCCACAAAAACGTTGGCACACGCTAGGTGTTATCTGAGGCCGAAAGTGCTCTCAATGACAAGTTCATTTTGCACTTTTGGAAGATTTCCTTAGAACATGCTTTTCTACAAGCTTCTGGGTCTTTCACTCAGTCGGTGCAAAGAAAGAGCCTATTGTGGAAGGCAGCCATTAGTGGTTGCGTTAACCCTGCAATGCAAACATTTCAGTTGAAAAACCAAAACAAAAAACATTGCAGGGTTAAAACTAATGACCACTGCACATACACCACTTCATTGAGATAAAGTGGTATGCGTAACGATACTCCTTTAACAAAAAGAATGTAAAAATGTGTGCCAATACAAGTGAGTAAACCAAAAAAGCATCAACTTACCGAGCTTTCAAGCTCACTAATTTAGAACTAGAATGTTCAGTTCTCCAAAATTACCAGATTACTTAATTCCAATTTTTATAGGGAAACATACAGATTAGTATACTGACCAAAACTTGATGTTTAAACAATTAAAGTGACCCACTGTGGGAGATTTTTCAAAGTGATCTGAATTGTCTGGGTAAGTTCAAAATTGTTTATTACATTTATTAGAAGGGTAAATTAGGCACCATAACAACTATGCAGCGGTCATGGTGTCAGGTATCCACAAACACCGTCCCATAGTAGGTACTTGAACCTTTTTTTAAATGGTTCCCAGATTACAAGGGTCCCCTGAGTGCATCCGGTCTAGCATCCTCTTCTAAATTACCTATATCAGAAGTTCCCCTATAAGAAATTCCACATCGTAATTACTGCAGAGTTTAATGGATCTTAGACAAAGAAATGTGTAAAACTCAACCATTCTATGTCTCATATCTACAATAAATTTACAGCTCTTGCATTTACAATATCAGAAAGTATAGTTCAACAGCTATAGGTTTCTTGTTTATCATTTCTTTTATTCAGCACTATTCACAGAATCACTATGATAACGTATAAGGGTTTCGATATATTAAGTTCTAGTCATCTATTCCCTTTTATTGAGGCATGCACCTATGCGACATGGTAATATCCTCAGTAGCAGTCCTACTTCGAGTTTATGTAGGTCCCAGGTTTCACCATCCTGTTGACTGGAGTACAGAATGTGAGCTATAGGAGTATCCTTGATACAGTAGTCTATTTTCTATTGTAGTACCCAGGCCTCTTCCTGGTGATGGAGGTACTTAACTGTTTCCCTTTTAACATTTAGCTTTCAATACCTGATCTTAATCTAGGATTAATTAGGAAATATGGCATACAACATACATTAGTCCTAGCATTAGTTGTATTTGTTTTGCGTTGGTAGGGTTTTGTATGCTTATACAAGGACATTTTCCTTCTTACTGCCCTCTCTAATTATCCACCTTTTTTTCCCTTTACCTTTCCTGGCATAGGATATCCATGATGTTATTATCATCTTTCTCTTTTCAGTAAAGGATACGGCTGGGTAATAGAAAGGGATGCTTTTTGCATTCTAATTACAAGAACACTCACATAGCTCTAGCTAATTCATGATTATGAAGCTTGTATCACCTTTATACTAGCTACAATACAGATGTTCTGCTATTGGCACTGGTGCTGGCATGTTAGTCAGTCTCACATTAACTGTTCCAGTGATGGAAAGTTAGATAATTCCATAGTAATCCTTACAGCACTATATACTAAGAAACCAGAACCAGAGACCATCTGTTTTCATGAATTAGGTGATCAACTATATAGAGATTAGTTCATGAATTAGGTGATCAGCTATATAAGGAATAGTTTGTAACCTAGGGTAATTTTGTAAATACTTAGATTTTTTTTTTTTTGTGGTATATTGTTACAATTGTTTGTTAAGGTAAGACTTTCACTAGAACTATACATTGAAGAGACACTATAGTCACCAGCACAACTACAGCTTATTGTATTTATTCTGGTGAGTATAATCATTAGTTTCAGGTCTTTGGCCTGAAACACTGTATTTTCAGAGAAAATGCAGTGTTCACATTAGAGTCCAGGGATAATTACACTGGCCACTCCTCTGATGGCTACTAGATGTGTTTCCCAAGGCAGTGCAGGAGTCACTGCCATTCAGTGTCTCCATCCACTGCAAGGAGACACTGAACTTTCCTCGTAGAGATGTAATGATTCAAAATATCTCTACAATGAGATGCTGATTGCTCAGGGCTGTTTGGCTTGTGCTGGCTCTGCAACTGAGCTGCCTCCTTGACAGCCTTAGCCAATCCTATGGGAAAGCATGGTGATAGGCTCAGAGAATCACTTCGGATGATGTCAGCAAAGCAGGCAGATCGGGGGCAGAGCCAGCAGCTGCAGAATTGAACAAACATAAGATTCTACTATATTTAGAGGGGCAGGGGGCTAAGAAGGTAGTTTTACATACATGTTTGTGTTCCTGACCCTACAGTGTTTTTTTTAAGTGTCAAAGCCTATGCTACTCCTTGTGCTGGCGTGAACTGTAGGGAACTGACCAGGGGTTATTTCATTTAGTGTACCTTTTGGCATGCCTCTGTGCTGCATGCACAAGATCGCACCTTTTTCGGTGCTTCTAAATGAGCTGTAGTAAAGCTTACAAGGTAGGCAAATGTGCTCTAGCCCAGCATCCCTCCCACTTCCGTTAGTTTTGTGTCTAAGTGACAACCAGAGGAGTGTTTCTGCCCCAATTATAAAAGAGTCGATTTCTATTGAAAATTGCCTCTTTTATAATCTACAGACTCCAGACACAAAGCACTGTCAAATAGGTGTTCATTTAAACCCTCAGCATTGTGTTCCATTATATCCAGAGATCATTAGCAAACATTCATATACAAGCACAAGAATAATCACTGTGAGGTCACTTCAAGATAACGTCCAACACTTCAAATGATCAAAGGTCACTGATCAAAAGTTGTAGTGCACTGAAAACAGATTTCAAACATTTGCCATGACGACTCATATTAACCCCTTAGGACACATGACATTTGTGACATGTCATGATTCCCTTTTATTCCAGAAGTTTGGTCCTTAAGGGGTTAAAGGAACACTACAAGCACCATAAGTACTACATCATGCTATAATGGATATGGTGCCAGGAATTAAACCACTGATTTATTACATAGGGAGCACTGGTCACTTTCCTCCTGGATAACCAGCTCAACACTGCACTGTGTTGCAGCTCACTGGATGAGTGCATCAACTTATGATTTGACTATTAACTGTAGTGTTTATGGTGTTTGAAGTGAACTGCATCATAAATTCCTAACACTATATTATTTTATTCCCCCCTCTCTGTGTAGTAAAAAGGTTGTTTTACTCACCCTTTCTCCATCACCGCACCGGCCTTAACGTAGCTTGCCCTGTCTCCATGGCTGAGATCATCAATCTTGACGATCTTAGTCAATCCAATGCTTTCCCTTTGGAGGCTATTTCGCATGTGTGACAAAATGCCGAGCTGTGCCAGTCAGTATCTCCTCATAGAGGTGCATTAAAGGAATGTAGGTGCTGCACACTTTGATACATGGAGATAGAAAGCGCCTCTACTGGCCTTCTGATTGACTGCCGCTAGATGTATTACTAGATAGCAATGCGCAAACTGCCTTTTCTCTGAGCCTGTAGGGGCATGTTATAGACACCAAAACCACTACATTAAAAGGGACATTGTAGGCACCCAGACCACTTCAGCTCAATAAAGTGGTCTGGTTGCAATGTCCCATCACCCTTACCCCATAGCATGTAATTATTGCAGTTTTTTTTTTTTTATAAACTGCAATAATTACCAGCTAGGGTTAACTCCTCTGGTGGCTGTCTACCAGACTGCCAATAGAGGGACTTCCAGGCTCAAAGGCGACTATGGGTCGCCTAAATGACGCTGGACGCATGCAATGCATTAGGACTTCCAGCGTCACAGGAATCCCTATAGGAAAGCATTGAATAATGCTTTCCTAAGGGTAGATCCTAATGAGAGTATGGAAATTGGCGTGCATGGGCATTAGGTCTCTTCCCCGCTGGCTGACGTCAGCGGATCCAAACTTGTTTTCCTGGCACTATAGTTTCCCTTTAAGCGGTGTTCTAGTTACTATAGTGTCTGTTTTCAAAATTCTTTTGACACGCTATAAAACTGCCAATTTCAAAATAAATCAGCACTTTTATAATTTGTGGCAGAACTACCTCCCTGGCTGTCAAACAGCCAGAGAGTTTTTTTCCCGCTAGCATCTGCTCCACAGAATGCTTGCCTTAATCCCAAATTCATGAGAGGTACTACAGGTCACTGAAGGATAGGAAACTCATAATTGTGTGCAGCTTCAACATAGAGGCGTTTTAATGAGAAGCCTCTAATTGAAGTATTCCCTCCTGGGGGAAAAGGGGAGGGCTTAAAGTGTTTATTCAAACAAAATTATATGTCCTTTACTGCTGGACTAATTATATATATATATATATATATATATATATATATATATATACACACACACACACACACACGTTTATAAGTATTTTAAATTAATTTCTCAGTTAAATGTAACCTTAATTTAATACACTCCAAAGTTGAAAACCCAGAAAATGACTGTAATTTAGAACGTATTACTGCAAGTTTTGTTTGCGGGTCATACACACAATAGTTAACTTGGACACTCACAGACTGTATTCACTAAACCGTGAAATGTAGCAAACAGATGCCAAAATTTAGTTAAAATAGCTGATTGGGAAAATCTCGAGCTCATCTTCCTATATTTAGCCTGAGTTTCCCCATTGTGGATTTTGATCCGATACATTGCTAACAAACCCCACCATGAATGTTACTGTGAAGCCCTCACTTCGTACAGCCAAGCACTGGGCACCGCCAGCGTGCTGGGAGCACAGTAAACCTGAGCCAAAAGCTACCGTCAGTGAGATTAAATCATCGCACCCACCTTTCACCGGAGCCGCTCGGTGCCAGTACTTTGGGACTCTCCCGGGTTAGCGAGAACTAGGAAGTGTACGTCAACAAGCCCCCCTCCAATACTAACAGCCAATCACAAGTTCAGCCATGCGTTCCACGCCTCGCCCTGGAAACCATCCTTGTCTCTCATTGGCCAGCCGTTCCCCAGTGCCGCGACTCACTCCAAGCCAGCCAATGGCAGGAAGGATAAAAGCCGCCCACTTAGAGCACCAACTTAACAGGGGATATTGTGGATGACGTCACGTGCCCCCAGTCATGTTTATTGAATAGCAGTTGCCCATTTCTTCCTGTGTTTATATACTTTATGAGGAAGCAAACAGGTTTGGCATTAAAGGTTGGTTGCCAACTTACCTGTAACTGGTGCAGGCTGGGTTTAATAGACTGATACCTCCCAACTGCATGCATCCCAATATTTTAAATGGACAAAGAGGGACACATTAATTTTAGGGGTGTGAGTGAGGTGTGGCTGTTCAATCATGTTAGGTGACTTACTAATAATAGTTTATGCAACTAAAATGTAATTTAGAACAAGAACAATGTAGCTTACGCAGACTGATTTCCAAATAAAGTGGGACCTCGGTTTACGAATTTAACCCCTTAACGCCCTTACGGCGTTCTATGCCGTTGCGGCGGCATAGAATGCCGTAACGGCTTTGAGCCCCAGGAGGTAAGATTTACTTACCTTCACCACGATCCTCTTCTGGAGGGCTGCCTGACAGCCCAGGCAGCCCTCCCACGGCAATTGAGGCCCATGGGATCGCCCTCAAAGAGCGATCACATGGGCCCCTATAGCTGGCTGTGGATCTGCCAGCAGGGGGGCTGTCTAAAATGTCAGACAGTCCACCTGCTGGTATGAAGTGTAAAAAAAAAAAAAATAAACGTGTAAAATTAAATTAAAAGTCTTTTTATATATATAATATATATATTATTATATATATATACATATTATATATATGTAACGTCATACAAAGTGTATTTTAATACTAATATAAGTATATATTAATATTAAAATACACTTAGAATGATGTTACATGTAGTATGTATATATATTATATATATAATAGATATATACACATATATATATATATATATATACGTATAATTACAATAATAAATAAAATATTGAAACAAAATTTTATATAAATTATATATTCATATGTAATTTCATTCTAACTGTATTTTGTTATTAATATATATATATTGGTAACAAAATACACTTAGAATGACATTCTATATATATCTATCTATATATAAAATACAAATAATCTCAAATATATATATAGATAAATACATATAATTACATAAAAGATTACATTAGTATACACGTAGAATTTAAATACCTATAAATGCATATATATTAAAATTTCTACGTGTATATTTAAGTAATCTTTTAACATAATTATGTGATTTGATTAATTAAAATTTGATTGACATGCCTGACAACACAGGGAGAAAGTGCAGAGAATTTAATTCACAAGCACTAAATTTGACCCTGTAACTCTCCAAGACACCATAAAACCTGTACATAGGGGATACTGTTTTACTCGGGAGACTTCGCTGAAGTCAAATATTAGTGTTTAAAACTGGTAAATTGTATTACAACGATGATATTTTAAGTAAAAGTGACTTTTTTGCATTTTTTACAAACAAACGGCATTTTTATGGACTATATTATTGTTGTAATATGTTTTACTGTTTTAAAACACTAATATTTGTGTTTAGTGAAGTCTCCCGAGTATAACAGTACCCCCCATGTACAGGTTTTATGGTGTTTTGGAAATTTAGAGAGTCACATATAAGGCTTGCATTTCATTTTTTTTACATTGAAATTTGCCAGATTGGTTATGTTGCCTTTGAGAGCGTATGGTAGCCCAGGAATGAGAATTACCCCCATGATGGCATACCATTTGCAAAAGTAGACAACCCAAGGTATTGCAAGTGGGGTATGTCCAGTCTTTCTTAGTAGCCACTTAGTCACAAACACTGGCCAAATATTAGTTTTTTGCTTTTTTCACACAAAAATAAATATGAACGCTAACTTTGGCCAGTGTTTGTGACTAAGTGGCCACTAAAAAAGACTAAACATACCCCACTTTCAATACCTTGGCCTGTCTACTTTTTCAAATGGTATGCCATTATTTTTATTTTTAGTTCTTGTTCCCATTTTTTTTTCAATAACATAACCAGTTGATGATTATTAGGGGGTGTCAGGAGAATTAGGGGCTTTTGAGAGTGGAGGAATGAGAGGTCGTGGAGGCGGGAGCTGGGAGAGGCGAGGGATCATGCCCCCTTGCCCAGTAAACAGAACCCGAACCCCACCCCTGGTGAGTTGATTTCCAAAAGTACGAGAGCACCCATGCAGCGATCAGTATTCCTAGGCCCCACAAATAGTGACCCTAAACTGGGCTAACAGCAGTTACTTCGAAAACATCACTGGTGACCCTTACAACCCCCATCCATACCCACCTTATTTTCTCTGTGTTCTCTCTGTTCCGTTACCTTTTTGTTCATCTTAACTGCCAATACCTGTCATTCCAACTATGGCTATCCAAGGCAATGCACAAAAGACATACATAAGCAGATGTTACTCATCTATTTACACTCGCCACAGGTTTGATGGCCATATGGGGTGGACATGCATGGCGGGTGAACTTGGTCACCTATTTTAGATATATTGATGATTTATTTTTTATTTGGGAAGGTACAGAGGACCTTTTAAAATCCTTTTTCACCGTCTTAATCACAGCAATAGAGGTATTATTTTATCCTGTGAATATAGTAAAGAATCCATTTTTTTAGATCTTAATATTTTTATTAAAGAGGATAAAATTCACATGAAAACATTTTTTTTTAAAGTTTGTGTTAACACAGCTATCGAGCAATTTAGTTGTCATTATAAGCCCTGATTAGAAAGTGCCCCACAAGTAAATTTTTATGTCTCCGTAGGTATTGCTCTCAGCTAGAAGACTTCAATACACAGGCCAATTTTTAAGGAGATAAATTCATTGAAAAACATTATTCACCAACTCATCTTAACACCACTATAAATAATATTAGGGAAAAAGAAAGAACAGACCTTTTAACATACAAAGTTCAACCAACTACTAATGCCATGCCCCTTCCAGTCATTTTTAATTTTAATAATAAAAGTGGCCACATAAAGAAAGTAATTCAAAAGCATTGTCATTTATTAAAACAAGATGAAATACTTAAAAACATTATAACGGACCAACCCAATATCGTATTTTGAGGTGCCCCTAATTTTAAGTAAATTTTAACCACCAATTTTACTAAAGAAACTAAACTTAATACCACCTCTTTTATCTCTAATACCAGTGGATTTTATAAATGTAAGCGATGTATTGTTTGTAAAAACACTGACCCCTCTGTTCCACCCAAAACTATTTTATTTAAATCTAATATAACTAATAAAACTTACAAAATTAAGGATTTCATCAGCTGCGATACCAAAAATGTAATCTAGATCTGGAAATTATTTGCTTTCGATCCCTGCCTCCCTCCCCTCCCCCTTGATCTTGTGGCCTACTACTCCAAGAGGCATTGTGATTAACAGTGACTCAAGCAGTGGTGTTGCTGGGGGTGGGGGGACACGGCATCATGTGCCCCCCCAAATGCAGGAACTGTATCAAGGGCAATGTGTTTTTTTTAATAATTCCTGGTGGAGAATAATAAATCCTCCACCGGGGATTATTAAAAAAATAAACACATTGTGGTGGGGGTGGGGCTTACTGTGCGATGGGGCCAAATGACGGTGGGGCGGGGCTAAAAGTGCCCAGAAGACATCGGTCAGAGGACAGAGGTAAGTGTGTGTGTGACTGTGTCTGTATCTGTGTGTGGCTGTCTGACCTCTGTGTTTGACTGTCTGCCTGTGTATGACTGTAACTGTGTGTGTGTGTGTGAGAGAGTGACTGTCTCTGTGTGTTTGACTGTCTGCCTGTATGTGATTGTAACTATGTGTGTGTGTGACAATCTGCCTCTGTGTGTGACTGTCTGCCTCTGTTTGCATGTGTGTCTATGTGTGACTGTAAATGTGTGTCTGTGAGACTGTCTGCCTCTGTGTGTGTGTGTGTTTGTGTGTGGCTGTGTCCCTATCTGTAACTGTCACTGTGTGTGTGTAACTGTCTGCCTCTGTGTATGTGGCTGTGTGCCTGTGTGTGAATGTAACTGTGTGTGTAAAACTGTCTGCCTCAAGTGTGTGTGTGTGGCTGTGTGCCGATGTGTGACTGTAAATATGTGTGTGTGTGTGTGTGTGACTGTAACTGTGCGTGTGTCACTTTCTGACTCTGTCTGTGTGGTTGTGTGCCTATATGTGACTGTAACTGTGTGTGTGACTGACTCTGTGAGTGTGGCTGTCTGCCTCTGTGTCATTCTAACTGTATGTGCATTACACTGTGCCCGTATGTGACTGTAAGCCTGTGTGTGTGATTTTTCGCACAGGGCGTCTATAGACCAAGGCCGGCCCTGGCTCTATCTATCCTAAAGTGCCCGCATGGATGTCCCCAGTGCTTCCTCCTGTTTTGGAGGAAGCAGTTTATGCTGTGAGCACATCAGAGGCAGCAAGGGAGCTGTAATCCTCCTACTCTGCTCCCTTGCGGGATATCTACCGATGCAGGGAGCCAGAATATGATGTCAAAAATGATTATTACCACTACACTTGGTACAAGCTAGCGTAAAAATGATTTCAGGCTAAGGTTCAAAATATGCCTTTTGAATTACTCTGGGATGTCTTCTTTAAGAAATATTATACCTTTTCGGGGTCATGGAATATGTAGCCTGCTAAAAAAGTGGGGTAACGACACAGCGTAATAGTTCGAAGTTTGAAAAAAACCTGAAATTGTTGTGTCTGAAATGTGCCCCTTTAACTTCCACATATACCTGGAAAAGGTACATACGGGGGTATTGCTGTACTCAGACAACATAGCTGAGCAACAAATGAAGTATTATGAAGTCGTAGCACACATAAGGTTTGTAAAATATACAGTACAAACTCACTGTGTGTGTCAAAAAGGCAGAAAAAAATGCTTATTACC